GATCAGATTGCAGTGACCTTGAATATATTTAATTCTTTTCACAAAAAACTTCAATTTACAGTGGAACAAGAAATAGATCGTTGTTTACCTTTTCTTGACACAAAAGTCATCCGTACAGAAGATAACAAAATTATTTTAGACTGGTTTCAAAAAAGTACTGCATCCGGTAGATTCATTAATTATTTCTCAAACCACCCAAAAAACCAAAAGTATAATACTGTTATCGCATTGAAAAATAGGTTAACACATATCAGTGATGAGAGATTTTTACAAGACAATTTAAAAACTCTTTTCAAAATTTTTATCAACAATGGTTATCCAAAACATATCTTGACAAAATTAATTTACAATTCCAACATTTTTGACGGCCCAACGGAACCTGAAAATATACAGATAACATACAAAAAACTACCTTACATTAAGGATTTCTCACACCAAATTATAACACTCTTTAAAGACTTTCCTAACATAAAAATTGCAAAATACAATGACTTGACAATCAGAAACTTATACTCTAAAATAAAAGATAAAACTCCTTTACTTTACAACAATAATGTAATTTACAAAATTCCATGCATGGAATGTCAAGGTTGTTACGTTGGCCAAACAGCACAATGGCTCAAACAACGTTTAACACAACACCGGAGCGATTGTAGAGTGGGAAAGAACTCTTGTGCTGTTGTTGAGCATTTCCAAAAAACAGGACATCAGTTTAATTTCAACGAGGTAAAAATTTTGAGAAAAGAAAATAACTATAAAACTCGCCTTTTTTTGGAAATGTGTTATATTCAAAAAACAGAACATTCATTAAATAATAAATCTGATACTAACCAATTAAGTAACATCTATTGTAATATTTTAAACCTAACTCAATAATTTACTATTGTAAAAATTATATGGAACGTTCATATTCTTAGATCATACCACAATAACCAGTTGAAATTTTAATTTTTCGGTAGACTTTGACTGACAATTTCGTTGCAAAAAAAAAAAAAAAAAAAAAAAATTCTCTAAAAAAAGACATCAAAATCTATTAAAAATAGGAAAATACAAAAATCTCGACTAGCTCTGTGTTGTAAGTAATATTTAATTTATTTATTATTTTTGTTCCTTATTTTATTATTGTACAATTCATTTTAAACTGCCATTTCTGTTATTTATACCAAAATATTTTTATTCATTATTTTTCTTGTAGTTTCTCCTGATGAAGTCTAAAATATAAGACGAAATATTGAGTATAAAAACAAATGAGTTTCACTAGTCCAGACCGCTACCCGATATCCTCTCCAAATTATTTAATTAGTACGGTCGATAACTGATTTTCATTTATATATATATATATATATATATATATATATAATTGATGCTTGTTTACCTAAATTATCTTTTGAAGTGCCTTTTTTAAAAAAATACGTGGACGACATCATAACATCAGTACCGAATGATAATATAGAAGAATTTTAGAAATATTCAATAGCTATAATTCACATATACAATTCACTTTAGAAAAGGAAGAAAACAAAAGTTTACCTTTCCTAGATACGAAAGTAATTAGAAATCATGATAATAAAATAATATTAGATTGGTACTTCAAACCAACTAGTTCTGGAAGATACATGAATTTCCATTCATATCATACCACTAAAATCAAAATTAACCTAATTATAGGATTAAAAACAAGGATTGAGAAAATTTCACATCCATCACTAAAAAACAATAATTTCAAAAAACTTTACAATATATTAATAAATAACTCTTACCCACCCAAATTCTTGAAAAAATTGATTTTTAACACAATTTCTATTAATCCTTTGGAACATACAGATACAGAAAATAATAATATCACCGAAGATAGAACTCCTTTACCTACTAATTTACAAACTTATTATTTTTCTATTCCTTTTATAAAAGAAATTTCTAATAAAATCACAAAGTTATTTAAAAATACACCATCAATAAAAATCGCAAATAAACAAACTAAAACAATCGGAAAATTATTTACAAAAATTAAAGACAAAGAGGAAAATCTAAAATCTTCGAATGTTGTATATAGTATTCCTTGTAACCAATGTGAAAATTGTTATATAGGTCAAACATCCAGAGTTTTAAAAGATAGAATCACTTCTCACAAAAGTGATTGTAGATTAGGAAAAAATACTTCTATATTATCTACACATTTCAATGAATTAGATCATAGTTTTAATTATAATGAAACCAAAATATTACATAGGGAACAAAATTATAATAAAAGATTGTTTTTGGAGATGGTTGAAATCTTTTTAAATAACAATTCTATGAATAAAAGATCAGACATAGATGATTTAAGCATTATCTATTCAAATATCCTAACAATGAAACCTATAAATAATAATAACTTCACTTATAGTCAAAATATATCACTTTTATAAATTTATCAAAACATAAACCAACTTTTCTTTGGAATAATGTTGAAATTTTCTTAAAAAAACATTTCCACCATTTCTTGAACCATTGTTATTTGTAAATTTCAGATCATACTCATACCTGAAAGTAATACTAAAAAAGTCAGATTGTAACAATTTATTTAAAAAGTATGCCAAATTTTCTTGTAAATGATATTTTTTCAATTTAAAACACATAGCAGTAAGTAAGCCTTCCTTTTAATATTTATTTGTATAAATATTATTCTTTTTATATAGCCCTGAAGAAGAAAATAAAAATTTTCGAAAGCTCGGCGTAGCTAAAAAGTTTTAAGACTTTTATTTAGACCCAGACTGATACCCCAGAAAATATCTTCCATTTATAAGTTGCCAGTCACGAATACCTACACTATTTATATATATATATATATATATATATATATATAATTGTCTCTTATTTTCCATATTTCTTTAAAGAAGGAAAATTCAAAAGCCTGGAATAGGAAAAATATGTCTATTAATTAATTGTTTCTCAATGTTTTAAATTTTTTATTTGTCATTTTTTTTCCATTCTATTCCAAGTATGTTACTCGATTGTTATTCCTGTAAGTAATTTTAGGGCAATAATAACTATTTATATAACAAGTACATAAAGTTGTTTATTATATTATATATTAATCAAATAACAGTTTATGAAAATTTAAGACAAGAATGTAAGATAGGTTTTCCTCCAAAACTAATCGTTTAGGTTTCACAGCCTGTCAAAGTTGCAAAAAGTCAGTTTTAAACTGTCAATATTTCCAAAACTGTTGAACTTAGGTTTAGGTATGGGGTATAAGTATCACACAAAATTAACTCAGAATTTCACGTAGAATTCAAATATGCAATCACATACAGGGTGTCTCATTTAAAATAAGCAAGTTGAAATTTACTTCCGGTATAACCAAAAGAGCCACCATCTTAAAAATATTTTAGCCGGGTTGCCCCTATTGAAATTAGTATACTCTCAAATTTTTTGCTCACAGTTTTTCATATACAGGGTGAGTTACTAAGCGCGCGGTGGTCCATATCTGCTATACCAATGGAGATCGCAGAAAAAACTAAATACAAAACTTGTAGATAAGCATGAATACTACATTCCTAAATTATTTTCCAGCATACAGGGTGGCTCAATAACTAGTAGTGACACAAAGTTATGTTTTTTTAAATAACTCCTCCTGTATATTAGGACATGTAAATGTAAAATCCGTTTTTTTATAAAATTAACCATTCTGGTTTTAAAGTCTGTCAAAGATGCAAAAAAGTCAGTTTTCAACTGTCAATATTTCTGGAACAGTAAAAAATAGGTATATGACATTGTACATGAAATATGTCTAGAATTTTCCGCAGAATCCAGAAATCTCATAATATAGAGGAAGAGTCATTTAAAAAAACATAACTTTGTGTCACTACTAGTTATTGGGCCACCCTGTATACTGGAAAATAATTTAGGAATGTAGTACTCATGTTTATCTACAAGTTTTGTATGTAGTTTTTTCTCCGATCTCCGTTAGTATAGGAGATATAGACTACCGCGCGCTTAGTAACTCACCCTGTATAGATCGATTTGGTTCCCGTTGTGACACTCTGTATAATCCTATTGGTCGGCAAATAACTGGCCCACCAATGGGATTACAGATTCCGTTTTCATGCCTCAGATACAATACAGTTTAGCAGAAGGTGAATAAACCGGTACTAAATATCGGTTTCTCAATAGCGAGGACAGGGTAAACGTGTCCGGTTGTAATGTTTACCCTGGAGTTATGCTTAACCCGGGGTTGACTTGCTAATGAGAAACCGGCCTTAAAAGATGTAACATCCAAGAGCCTGGAATAGAAAAAAAATATGTTTAACTAACAAAATCAAAAACCAGGAAACCGAATAAAAAAACATTTTGAATTATACTTTCTGAAACTTTATATATTTTTTTTAAATTGAAACTTTTCTTTATAATCTTATCTACGAGTGCGTTGACATAAGTATAACAACAGATGATTATAAAACCGATTATAAAAAATAATTTTTCATAATGACATCATAAAAGTAATAATCCATTGACCTCAATAACGAAAGCTTACGAGAAGTTCTCAATTTTGAGAAATGATCATTTGAAATTGAGTTTGCATTAACAGTAAATTTCATTTTACGATGCTTCTAGAATTGTCTAGAGTCTAAATATTCGCGAATTTTCAGTGGGTACTGGACTGCGAACCAAACTTAACTGCAGGAAAATCTCAATATTGACGGCGTCATTGATATGAAATTTCGGCAATTTGGCCTTGAACAGACCTAGTTTAGAATAGACCTATGATCCACGGTTAAATTTGGTTCCCAGTCTCAAGTGCCCCCATACCTACTAGTTTCCAGTCATCAGACATAATGTTGCAAGATTATGCACAATTTCCTCAACGATTTATAATGATATTCTGGTTTTGTTAACATAAATTATTGCTCTCAATGTGTACGAAAATTTTTAATTATAAACATCAATAAGTAATTTTGTAATTCCCTCTAGTTTTAGACTGGTAAGTTTTTAGTACATATTTTGTATTTTTATTCTAGCTGATGGAGTGACGTATTCGTTTGGCATCTTTTACGACGAGTTTTTGGATTATTTCAAAGAAGGCAAAGGACTGACGTCATGGATATTGTCGATACTGGTCGGCGTTACGTTATGTTCAGGTAAGTTGAGCATTAAATAAAGTCTTAGACGAAGAAAAAGTTTTTCCAGTATCTATCGAAAGGATCTTGTTCGGTTTTAGAATAAATTACATTTTTACTATGACATGTGTCTCTTTTAACCGAGTCAAATGTTTGCTGTCAACTGTCTATTTCCTCTTCTTCTTTTGAATATAATTATTGATAATTTACACACACAATAGTAGGCCTTGAAATTTCATCCTGCCGCTATTTCTAAGAAATATAATTATTTGTTCCACCGAAAATGTCGCAATTTCAATAAGATTTTCATTAAATTTTGGCTCTGTGAGAATCAAATTTTCACTTTTTTAACCCCTCTATCATCATAATTACAAAATCTTCTTCTGTCCATCCAGGTCCAATATCCAGCGCACTAGTCAACCGATGGGGCTGCCGCCTAGTGACCATAGCAGGCGCCATCTTAGCCTCCTTATGCCTAGTGATCTCGTTTTGGGCGCCCAACGTCATCACCCTATGCGTCACCATAGGCATCGGCACCGGTTTTGGTTTTGGCTTAATCTACCTACCAGCCATCGTTAGCGTGACTACCTACTTTGAAAAAAAACGCTCACTAGCAACCGGAATAGCTGTATGTGGTTCCGGATTTGGCACTTTTGTCTTTGCCCCTATAATTTCCAGATTGCTAACAGAATATGGATGGAGAGGCAGCATTTTGATTATAGCTGGAATTGTACTAGAATGTATCTTATTTGGTGCATTGTTTAGGCCCTTGGAAAACGAGCCAACTACTACTAAAAAAGACCAAAATGTCTTGCTAAAACCATGTGAAGGCCAAATCGACATCCACATATCCGACCACGATATTACCAATTACAATTCCATTCAGATAAATGGCAACAACCAAATGCATAGACCGCACAGTGTGGCTCACTTCACAATGCCCAAAAAGCACGAAATGAATGGTAACATACCAAAAGATGTTACCAGATTAGCACTAAGCCAACCAATGCTGACGCAATCAGAAATCCATTATAGGCCTCACCATCGCAGACCTTTAGACCGTCCTGATGTTTTCTACCAAGGTAGTTTAATGAATATACCTTCATACAGATCAAGATTGGACTTAAAACATGGTGAACACGCTTTGGAACGCAGACACTCAACTTACAGCCACCGAAAATATCATCACCATCACATTGAAACTTATGATGAAGAAAACTACAAAATGTGCGGCTTGATTCCTTGTTCACCCGAAACAAAAGACGCCTTAAGCGAAATGTTAGATTTTTCCTTGTTTAGAGATCCGATTTTTATTGTTTTTTCCACCAGCAATTTACTTACTAGTATAGGTTTTAATATACCTTATGTCTATTTGGTACCTAAAGCAAAAGATTTAGGTATGGACATTAAAACAGCCGGAATGCTGATATCGATTATCGGTGCCGCAAATACTGTCGGCCGAATAGTTTTAGGTTATGTTTCGGACAAGCCCTGGATCAATCGATTGCTGGTCTACAATTGGTGTCTTACTCTTTGCGGAATTGGTAAGTATTTCTTTATATAATAATGAATTTTTCAAAATTATGTTTTTTTTTACACAAAGCTACATTCGCCAGTGCCTTCCTAGTAACATTCTATACGCTGGCCGCCTATTGTGCGGCATTCGGTTTTCTGATTGGAGCTTATGTGGGACTTACCTCGGTTATTTTGGTGGATCTTTTGGGTTTGGAAAGGCTGACCAACGCTTTTGGATTGTTGCTGCTGTTCCAGGGGATCGCTTCGTTGATCGGACCACCGATTGCAGGTAAAGTGACTTCACAGAAGTTTTTAAAAAGGTTGGTTAAAGTAGCTGACGTTTTTCTCTAGTGCAAATGTCACAACTTAAAACATCAAAAACAGACGTGCTATGAAGATTCTGAAAAAGTTTTGAAAAAGACATTTTTTAAACGACTCTAGTTTAGTAACGACACGTTGCCTACGTCATTACTGGTACTTCGACGTGATGGGGAGGCTTAAGTTTTTATTTACACAGGCCATATAAGGATAGGCTTGTGTAGTATGTAATATCCTTGCTTCAAGACAAAATTGGATTTTGTAGCGCGTTTTCGCATCGATGTTATTTTAAAAGTTCATCGATATTTTTATGGAAAACAATTCCAGCTGGGATCACGACAAGTAGATTTCTACTAGAATTATACTCCTATGACGTCAGGTTGCCTAGCAACCATCATTATCGCTTGTAGTGTACGCAATGACTAGGTCCCGGGTGACGTCATGAAAGTATAATTTTTCTCGTCGTAATCCCAGCCCTGATATCATTAGAAAAAAACCACATACTTTTCAATCGATATTTTATTTGTCTTGTCGCATTTTAACAGCTGCTGCAGTTTGCTGTTTTTCTTTGAAACATGAAAAATTTGACATTTTGTCTCTGTCTTAATCACAAATAAAGATTTCATATCTTTGTTCCCAAAATACCTTAATACAAGGCTCCTAAAGTTCATAGGTTGTCTGGTAATAGATAATTTGATGACGTATCTGGAATGCCTTATGGAGATTTACATTATGTTGAGGCATACAGATGACGTCATAAAAGTTATCAGGCAACCTCGTTTTAAACAACCTTGACCCTGATAAAAAAAAAATTTGACAGTATCTGTCACGTATCGTCACCAAACATTTCAAGATATTTCAATGACCATAAGAATTTCCAAACATTGATTCAATGCATTTGACCAATCACAGTTGACAAATAAACAATATATTGAATGTCATTTGTCAACCAATTACTAATTGCTATTTCCATTCCATGTTAATAGTGACACTTGAAACTGCTCTGATTCGATTAGTGGAAATTGTCAAAATCTGAAACTAAAGCGCTATTTCTATATTTATAGTGACAGTTGAAACTGTCAATGGAGTCAATATTGACAGTTAAAACCGTATCACTTTGATTGGTTGTAAATTTTCAAAATTTAAACTGTTCCCGACTCTTTAGTTGGGTTAAAAAACCAGAAATTGTCAAAGTCAAGAGCCTGGAATAGAAAAAACATAGATGTGTTCTTATTTACTATTTTTTTCTCAATTTTTCACCTTGACTATGATTAAAACCAAAAAAGGTACGCCTATGGATTGTATGACTCCGCCCCTTGTTTATTAGCAATTAATCCCGCCCACTTTGGGTCTATTGAAAACATCTAAATGGGCGGAGCCTCGCTAACCATAGGCGTACGAGAAATTTTTCAAACAATCCCCTTGAAAAACACTCGTTTTGGTAAACAAAGTTCATTAAAAATCCAAAATGGTGGCAAATTTAAACCTCAAATCAGTGTTGCCAACCGGTTTGTAGATTAAAGTAGAGGTAGTTGATTCATTGTGCGCCCCCCCTTTCCCCGGGAGAGCTTCATCAGCCAAAAATCTGTGATGTCATGCAAATTAAGCCCAGGTGTGCTATATGTCATATTTTGGGGCGTGGCCCGTATTTTGACATACGTTACCTGTCAACCATCACCTGTAATTTTTGATAGCTGTCAACTATGGTTGACGCTGTCAATAGTGTCCATAGCGACAGTTAAAACCGCATCGCTTTGATTGGTGGTGAATTTTCAAAATTAAACTGTTCCCGGCTCTTGAATTCAGTTCAAGAGCCGGGAATAGAAAAAACATGAATGTCTCCGTATTCACCATTTTTTCTCAATTTTTCTTACATTTGTCGCTTTGATAAACCAAAAAAGGTACGCCTATGGATTGTATGACTCCGCCCCTTGTTTATTAGCAATAATTAATCACGCCCACTTTGGGTCTATAGAAAACATCTAAATGGGCGGAGCCTCGCCAACCATAGACTCGTTTTGGAAAGCAAAGTTCATTAAAAATCCAAAATGGCGGCCAAATTTAAACTCAAATCAGTGTTGCCAACCGGTTTGTAGATTAAATTAGAAGTAGTTGATTCGTCCTGCGCCCCCCCCCCCCCCACCCATCTCCCGGGAAAGCTTTATCAGCCAGAAATCTGATGTGATGTAATGCAAATGCAAAAAAAAAAAGTCCTCATGTATTTTGACGTACGTTACCTGTCAACCGTCACCTGTAATTTCTATAGCAGCCACATGTCAAATGACAGCTGTCAAGTGTCAAATTTGAAATCTAGCATGAGGGCCTTGTGAAGGATGACGTAATACATATTTAAGCCAAAAATTAGGTTGTTGGCTTTCATTCCAAAATCGCCCAATGCTTACAATCGAGTTACATAAGGAAGAGAGATATAGACCTATAAAACGGCAACACTGTCGCATGGCGATTTTACCAGTGACGGCGTGTAATTTTGAGAAAATAAAATTTTAAATATTTTTTTTTTTTCTGTCTCAATTTTTGTCTATTCTCGGCTCTTGAATTATCGTTTCCTCTTAAATTTCTCGAAACTTTATCGCTATTTCTATTCCATACTAACGTGACAATTGACGCTGTCAATAATGACAGTTGGAACTGCTCCGATCCGATTGGTGGTTAATTTTAAAAACACCGGAATTGTCAAAATCTGAAACTGTGGGAGATTTCAAGCGATTGACCAGTCGGTAACCTTGACAGATGAGCAACGCATCTTACGTCATTCGAAACCAATTGGTTGACAAATGACGTTCATTTCATTGTTTATCTGTCAAGTGTAACCGACCGGTCAAACGCATGAAATCGACCTAAAACGCTATTTCTATATTTATATTGATAGTGACAGCTGACGATTGACACTATCAGTAATGTCAATAGTGTCAGTTGAAACCGCACCACTCTGATTGGTGGTTAATTTTAAACTGTTTCCTTGAGTTCAAGAGCCGGTAATTGTCAAAGTCAAGAGCCTGGAATAGAAAAAACATGAATGTCTTTTTATTTGTCATTTTTTTTACATTTCTCACCTTGACGATGATTAATCAAAAAAGGTACGCCTATGGATTAAATGACGTCGCTAAATGGGCGGAGCCAGGCCAACCATAGCCGTACGAGTTAATATTCAAACAAAATCCCCTTGGAAAACACTCGTTTATTAGTAAAAATCTAAAATGGCAGCAAATTTAAACTCAAATCAGTGTTGCCAACCCGCTTGTACACACTGTTGCCGGCTTTTACTCAAAAATCGCCCAATGTTTACAATCAATCATATTATATAAGGAAGAAAAAGATAGACCTATAAAACGGCAACACTGTGTCGCATGTCGATTTTACCAGTGGCGGCGTGTAATTTTGAGAAAATGAAATTTGAAATAAATTTCTCTCAACTTTTCTGTCTCAATTTTTTGTCTATTCCAGCTCTTGAATTTTCGTTTCCTTTTAAATTTCTCGAAAGTTTATCGCTATTTCCATTCCATATTAATAGTGACAGTTGACGCTGTCAATAGTGTCAATAACGACAGTTGAATAAACTGGTCGAATTTTGAAATTCAAATTTTTCCCAGGTCTTGATCATAAGCTGGGTTCGGTAATTGCATCTGCGAGAAAAATTTGACAGATGTCACGTGATTTGACACGTTAAAAAAAATAGGTAATCACGCGACGTCCGTCAAATTTTGCTCGCAGATGCAATAACCGAACCCAACTTTCAAGAACCGTGAACTGTTAAAATCTGAAACTAGCGCTATTTCCATAATAACAGTGACAATTGACGCTGTCAATAGTGTCAGTTGAAACCGCATCACTTTGATTGGTGGTGAATTTTCAAAATTTAAATTGTTCCCGGCTCTTGATCTAAAGTCTGTTCTCACAGAAATTACATTGGCGCAAATCGACGACAACCAGTTTTCTGTTTTCCAACCCAAGGTTGTTCGAAAGAGGTAGGTTGTCTGATAGCTTTATGACGTCATCTGTGGTGCCTCAACATAATGCAAATCGATACATATTATGTATAAGGCATTTCAGATGTAGTATCAAGTTACCCATTACCAGACAGCCTATTGACTTTAGGAACTGTGTTTTTAACCAATGAAATTAGTCCTTCAAACACTTTGTTTGTCCCCTACATCGGAAGTGAGGTTATGTGTATGACGTCAGCTAATGCCTAATTGCATCAACTTTGATTGGTTGTGAATTTTCAAATCAAGAGCCGGGAATAATCATAATTTGCCTTTGATTTAAGTTGAAAAGCCAAGAATTGTCAAAATTTGAAACTAGTTGATCTGTCAAAGTTAGTGTTTGCAAAAATTCGTTAATAGTTTGGAAGAATAAGTGCAAAGAAAATATCTATCTCTTTCTTTCACAGGCTGAGAGAAAGAGATACAAACACACTCAGAGTACATTAAGTTGTCCATTCGATTGGGAAATGTTTGATAGATGTCTTTTATTTCTTTCAATTTCAACCTCATTGAAAAAAAAAAAAACAGACAAAAGCTAATTTTGACACGCTGCATACGTCATCGCTGGTACTTTGGCGTGGTGGCAGGCGTGAGATTTTATCTACACAAACCTTATGAAGATAGACTATCTTGTATAGTGTGTAATATCCTTGCTTCAAAGCAACTTCTTTTTTGAAGAAGAAAAATTTGAGGTTATGTCAAAGTTTTTTCCATCAGTTTTGCCAACCAACATCTAGACAAATTACATCAGCTGAGTTGATTGGATCGGCGTTTCCATAGGGCGATATGAGTGATTTGACGTATTTATTATTATTCAATATGGCGTCGTGGCATGACAAACTTGACAACCGTAAAGATACGTTAACATCCAATTTTAATTCAAATTTCAATCATGGTCGTCAAGTTTCTTATGGCGCCATATTGAATATTAATAAATTGACACAACGTCAAATCGCCTATTTTCATTAACCTCAGAAAACCTTTGACATTTTGAAACGCTGTTCCAATTAACCCGATCACCAGCTGATGTTATTTGTATTTTTTTAATCGTGTTCATTCAAAAAAGACGGAAAACCAAACAGCCTGTCATCCGGTTAATTGAATCTGAGTTTTCAAACTTTTAACCAATCATAGTTGACAGATGAAAAATAATGCATTAAATGTCATTTGTCAACCAATCAGTCTTCTAGTTATGTAGTTGATCTGTCAAGGTTATTGCCTATCCTCATAAGGCCTGTGTGGAAATCCATGGCCCACTATGATGGAAACTTATTGCGTTTCCGGTTGGGAGAATTAGTGCAAAGAAAATGTATTTCTATCTGTTCCTTTCACAGGCTGAGCAAAAGAGATGGATATAAACGTAGTGCATATTAAATCTTCCAATCGGAAACGCCATTAATGTCAATCTTGACATTTGAGGAAACCGGTTGAAAGCCTAGTACTCATAACTGCAAAATTTGCTTTTTTTTGACATTACTTCGACAATTTGACGTTTGATTCACGCATAAAACGTCAAATTGTCGAAGCAATGTCAAAAAAATGCGAATTTTGCGGTTATGAGTACTTAGGCTTATTGCAGGTAAAAATGTTTCAATCAACTGTGAATTTGTTAACTACTGAATTGTCAAAAGTCAGGGTTGCCATTATGAAGGAGACTTATGGCGTCTCCAGTTGGGAAAATTAGTGCACAGAAAATGTATTTCTATCTCTTTCCTTTCACAAGCCGAGAGAATGAGATGGAAATACACTCACTATACTGGTTAATTACCTGGTAAAAATGTATCAATCAACCGTACATTTTTTGTCAACTAAATTGTAAACAGTCAGGTTTGCCAACTCAAAAAAAAAAATCAAAAAATCCATGGCCTACTATGATGGAAATTTATGACGGTTTCGGTTGGGAAAATTAGTGCAAGGAAAATGTATTTCTATCTCTTTTTCTCACAGGCTGAGAGGAAGAGATGGAAATATACACTCAGTGCACATTAAATCTTCCAATCAATTCCCAAACGTCATCCGTTAGTTTTACACTTTGTGTTGGTTCGTTGAATGTTTTTTGTCTCTTTCAATTTCTCTTCATTGAAAAAAGACAGACAACTGCTGATTCCTATCAAAATTGTCAAAAATCATTTGTGGTTTATATGACATTTAAAGTTGTGACATTCGCACTAGACATTCTCAGTTACTTCAACTGACGTTTCCAAAACGTGTTCCAACCGGATACGTTTCCAAAACGTGTTCCAACCGGATACGTTTTCAAACAACAAAATTAAGATAAATCTTTCCTTTTTCAGGTGGTTTGTACGATCTGACCGCCTCCTACGACCCGGGTTTCTGCCTGGCCGGCGTCGCCATAGCTCTGAGCGGTCTGATCCTGTTTCTGATCCCGCCGTTGCAGCGGGCGCAACTCAAAAAGACGGCGAACCAGAACCGGCGCGCTCATTTGACAGGCGCCGGCGACGAAATATAGCAATTACTGAACCCTCTGGCCGACGAGGTCCGGACTTACAACAGTTTATGATGAAAATAATATTAAATCGCTATACATATCTTTTATTATAGGAGAGGGGGTTTTCAAGATTGACAGATAAACAAAAATGTCATTTGACTTTTTTGAAAACCCTTTTATAGTGTAAATTGGACCATTATTATTGTAGTTGGACATGGATTCAGTTGACGTAACTGATTTCAATTGAATTCAATTTTAGTTGTAAATAGTTTTTTTTTTTAAGACACTTGGTGTACATATTTTTTTTGACAGTTGTTATCTGTCAGCTGTCATTAAAAGTGAGCACTCAGTGCAATAAGTGCCATTATTTTTTGTTTATTATTCATAAGCTACTAGATTTTTGATACATTTGTTTCTATTTATTTTGGTTTTTAAACTATAGCTACACCACTTAATTAATGACTATATTATTTTATACAATTTATAGTATATTTATTGAATTCTAGAACATTTTTTTAATTAAGCTAATTATCTTCCATATATAATAATATATTTATCAACATAATTAATTATTATTATTGTCTTTGTAAATTAGGCACAATTTTATACGTACCTATACTCTTTATGGCTGTGATATCAAATTAAAAGCAGTAAAAACGAGTAGTTTTTGTTTATTTGTACGCCACTGGTATTTTCCCTCAACCTTTCCATGTTAGTATGAATTTTAGTCAGTTTTTGAATAATCATACAGTTTTGTTTTGACGTTTATAGGCGTCGCTCGGAAAGATCAATTTTCTCGAAATTTTGAAAATTTAGACGTTTATAGGCGTCGTTCAGAAAGATTGATTTATTTGAAATTTTGTCGCTCGGAAAAATCGATTTTCTCCAAATTTGGACGTTTATAGACGTCGCTCGGAAAAATCAAAATTTTCGATATTTGGACGTTTATAAGCGTTGCTCGAAAAGATCAATATTCTCGTAATTTTAGAAATAAAGACGTTTCTCGAAAATATCGATTTTTGAAAATTTGGACGTTTATAGGCGTCGCTCGGAAAAATACGAAATTTTAAAAATTTGAATGTTTATAGGCATCACTTAAAAAGGAAAATTTTCTCGAAATTTTGGTAATTTGGACGTTAAAAGGCGTCGCTTAAAAAGATCAATTTTTTGGAAATTTAAACGTTTAAATGTCAAAATGTCATTTTTTTTAGGAACGCGTTCGATAATGCAGTGTTTAGGAATTCGAGTTCGAAAATAAATTGATTGGAATGTGTTCTGAGTGTTGCACTTTTTGCTCTAGAGTAGATTTGGAGCCAAAAACCTGCTCCAAAATATAATTTTTTGATTCAAAATTTGTATAAAAATGAGATAAAAAAAAATTAAATGTTTTCCAAGTGCTGCACTTTTTGCTCTAGAGTAGATTAAGAGCCAAAAACCTGCTCCAAAATGCAATTTTTTTTTTCAGGTGGGGGAGGGCATTCGATAACTTAATTTAAGGTGATTCAAAAATTGTATGAAAATAAATAGGAAAAAAATTAAATGTTTTTTAAATGTTGCACTTTTTGCCCTAGAGTAGATTAAAAGCCAAAAACCTGTTCTAAAATGCAAATTTCAATTTTTTCTAGGGGGCGTTCGATAACTTGGTTTTAGGTGATTTAAAAATTATGTAAAATTGAATAGAAAAAAAATTAAATGTTGCACTTTTTTGCTCTAGAGTAGATTAAGAGCCAAAAACCTACAATTTTTTTTTTCAGGGGGGAGGCCATTCGATAACTTAATTTTAGGTGATTCAAAAATTGTGTGAAAGTAAATAAGAAAAAAATTAAATATTTTTTAAATGTTGCACTTTTTGCTCTAGAGTAGATCAAGAGCCAAAAACCTGCTCTAAAATGCAATTTTCAATTTTTTCAAGAGAGGCGTTCCATAACTTGGTTTCAGGTGATTCAAAAATTGTGTAAAAATAAATATAGAAAAAACATTAAATGTTGCACTTTTTGTTCTAGAGTAGATTAAGAGCCAAAAACCTGCTCCAAAATGCAATTTTTTTTTTCAGGGGGAGGAAGGCATACGATAACTCAATTTTAGGTTACTCAAAAATTGTATGAAAATAAATAGGAAAAAAATTAAATAATTTTTGAATGTTGCACTTTTTGCTCTAGAGTATCAAGAGCCAAAAACCTGCTCTAAATTCGATATTGGACGTTTATAAGCGTTGCTCGAAAAGATCAATTTTCTCGAAATTTTATAAATAGAAATTAAGACGTTTATAGACGTCGCTTGGAAAAAATTCGAAATTTTGGAAATTTGAATGTTTACAGGCATCACTTAAAAAGAACGATTTTCTCGAAATTTTAGTAATTTGGACGTTTATGGGCGTCTCTTGAAAAGATTAATTTTTTCGACAAAACGTTTAAATGTCAAATTGTCATTTTTTTAGGAACGCGTTCGATAATGCAGTGTTTTGGAATTCGAGTGCGAAAATAAATAGGAAAAGATTAGAATACGTTCTGAGTGTTGCACTTTTTGCTCTAGAGTAGATTTGGAGCCAAAAACCTACTCCAAAATGTAATTTTTTGATTCAAAACTTGTATAAAAATGAAATAAGAAAAAAATTTAATGAGTTCCAAATGATGCAGTTTTTTGCTCTAGAGTAGATTAAGAGCCAAACAATTGCTCTAAAATGCAATTTTCAATTTTTTCAGGGGGTGCGCTCGATAACTTGATTTTAGGTGATTCAAACATTGTGTGAAAGTAAATAGGAAAAAAAATTAAATGTTTTTTAAATGTTGCACTTTTTGCTCTAGAGTAGATTGAGAGCCAAAATTCTGCTCCAAAATGCAATTTTCAATTTTTTTTATGGGGAGACGTTCGATAGCTTGGTTTCAGGTGATTCAAAAATTGTATAAAAATAAATAGAAAAAAAATTAAATGTTGCACTGTTTTGCTCTAGAGTAGATTAAGAGCCAAAGGCCTGCTCCAAACTCCAATTTTTTTTTTTTTTTTTTCAGGTGGGTAGGACTTTCGATAACTTAATTTTTTGGTGATTCAAAAATTGTGTGGAGATAAATTAAATGTTTTTTAAATGTTGCACTTTTTTCTTTAGAGTAGATTAAGAGCCAAAAACCTGCTCCAGAATGCAATTTTCAATTTTTTCAGGGGGGGCGTTCCATAACTTAATTTTAGGTAATTCAAAAATTATGTAAAAATAAATAGGAAAAATATTTGAATATGTTCCAAATATTACACTTTTTGCTCTAGAGTAGATTGTGAGCCAAAAACCTGCTCTAAAATGCAATTTTCAATTTTTTCAGGGGGAACATTCCATAATTTAATTTTAGGTGATTCAAAAATTGTGTGGAAATAAATAGGAAAAAAATTAAATGTTTTTTAAATGTTGCACTTTTTGCACTAGAATAGATTAAGAGCCAAAAAACTTGCTCCAAAATGCAATTTTCAATTTTTTCAGGGGGGGCGTTCCATAACTTAATTTTAGGTAATTCAAAAATTATGTAAAAATAAATAGGAAAAATATTTGAATATGTTCCAAATATTACACTTTTTGCTCTAGAGTAGATTGTGAGCCAAAAACCTGCTCTAAAATGCAATTTTAAATTTTTTCAGGGGGAACATTCCATAATTTAATTTTAGGTGATTCAAAAATTGTGTGGAAATAAATAGGAAAAAAATTAAATGTTTTTTAAATGTTGCACTTTTTGCTCTAGAATAGATTAAGAGCCAAAAAAACTTGCTCCAAAATGCAATTTTCAATTTTTTCAGGGGGGGCGTTCCATAACTTAATTTTAGGTAATTCAAAAATTATGTAAAAATAAATAGGAAAAATATTTGAATATGTTCCAAATATTACACTTTTTGCTCTAGAGTAGATTGTGAGCCAAAAACCTGCTCCAAAATGCAATTTTCAATTTTTTCAGGGGGGGCGTTCCATAATTTAATTTTAGGAGATTCAAAAATTGTGTGGAAATAAATAGGAAAAAAATTAAATGTTTTTTAAATGTTGCACTTTTTGCACTAGAATAGATTAAGAGCCAAAAAACTTGCTCCAAAATGCAATTTTCAATTTTTTCAGGGGGGGCGTTCCATAACTTAATTTTAGGTAATTCAAAAATTATATAAAAATAAATAGGAAAAATATTTGAATATGATCCAAATATTACACTTTTTGCTCTAGAGTAGATTGTGAGCCAAAAACCTGCTCTAAAATGCAATTTTCAATTTTTTCAGGGGGAACATTCCATAATTTAATTTTAGGTGATTCAAAAATTGTGTGGAAATAAATAGGAAAAAAATTAAATGTTTTTTAAATGTTGCACTTTTTGCACTAGAATAGATTAAGAGCCAAAAAACTTGCTCCAAAATGCAATTTTCAATTTTTTCAGGGGGGGCGTTCCATAACTTAATTTTAGGTAATTCAAAAATTATGTAAAAATAAATAGGAAAAATATTTGAATATGTTCCAAATATTACACTTTTTGCTCTAGAGTAGATTGTGAGCCAAAAACCTGCTCTAAAATGCAATTTTCAATTTTTTCAGGGGGAACATTCCATAATTTAATTTTAGGTGATTCAAAAATTGTGTGGAAATAAATAGGAAAAAAATTAAATGTTTTTTAAATGTTGCACTTTTTGCTCTAGAATAGATTAAGAGCCAAAAAAACTTGCTCCAAAATGCAATTTTCAATTTTTTCAGGGGGGGCGTTCCATAACTTAATTTTAGGTAATTCAAAAATTATGTAAAAATAAATAGGAAAAATATTTGAATATGTTCCAAATATTACACTTTTTGCTCTAGAGTAGATTGTGAGCCAAAAACCTGCTCCAAAATGCAATTTTCAATTTTTTCAGGGGGGGCGTTCCATAATTTAATTTTAGGAGATTCAAAAATTGTGTGGAAATAAATAGGAAAAAAATTAAATGTTTTTTAAATGTTGCACTTTTTGCACTAGAATAGATTAAGAGCCAAAAAACTTGCTCCAAAATGCAATTTTCAATTTTTTCAGGGGGGGCGTTCCATAACTTAATTTTAGGTAATTCAAAAATTATATAAAAATAAATAGGAAAAATATTTGAATATGATCCAAATATTACACTTTTTGCTCTAGAGTAGATTGTGAGCCAAAAACCTGCTCTAAAATGCAATTTTCAATTTTTTCAGGGGGAACATTCCATAATTTAATTTTAGGTGATTCAAAAATTGTGTGGAAATAAATAGGAAAAAAATTAAATGTTTTTTAAATGTTGCACTTTTTGCACTAGAATAGATTAAGAGCCAAAAAACTTGCTCCAAAATGCAATTTTCAATTTTTTCAGGGGGGGCGTTCCATAACTTAATTTTAGGTAATTCAAAAATTATGTAAAAATAAATAGGAAAAATATTTGAATATGTTCCAAATATTACACTTTTTGCTCTAGAGTAGATTGTGAGCCAAAAACCTGCTCCAAAATGCAATTTTCAATTTTTTCAGGGGGGGCGTTCCATAATTTAATTTTAGGAGATTCAAAAATTGTGTGGAAATAAATAGGAAAAAAATTAAATGTTTTTTAAATGTTGCACTTTTTGCTCTAGAATAGATTAAGAGCCAAAAAACTTGCTCCAAAATGCAATTTTCAATTTTTTCTGGAGGGGCGTTCCATAACCTAATTTTAGGTTATTCAAAAATTGTGTAAAAATAAATAGGAAAAATATTTGAATATGTTCTAAATATTACACTTTTTGCTCTAGAGTAGATTGTGAGCCAAAAACCTGCTCTAAAATGCAATTTTCAATTTTTTCAGGGGGAACATTCCATAATTTAATTTTAGGTGATTCAAAAATTGTGTGGAAATAAATAGGAAAAAAATTAAATGTTTTTTAAATGTTGCACTTTTTGCTCTAGAATAGATTAAGAGCCAAAAAAACTTGCTCCAAAATGCAATTTTCAATTTTTTCAGGGGGGGCGTTCCATAACTTAATTTTAGGTAATTCAAAAATTATATAAAAATAAATAGGAAAAATATTTGAATATGATCCAAATATTACACTTTTTGCTCTAGAGTAGATTGTGAGCCAAAAACCTGCTCTAAAATGCAATTTTCAATTTTTTCAGGGGGAACATTCCATAATTTAATTTTAGGTGATTCAAAAATTGTGTGGAAATAAATAGGAAAAAAATTAAATGTTTTTTAAATGTTGCACTTTTTGCTCTAGAATAGATTAAGAGCCAAAAAACTTGCTCCAAAATGCAATTTTCAATTTTTTCAGGGGGGGCGTTCCATAACTTAATTTTAGGTAATTCAAAAATTATGTAAAAATAAATAGGAAAAATATTTGAATATGTTCCAAATATTACACTTTTTGCTCTAGAGTAGATTGTGAGCCAAAAACCTGCTCTAAAATGCAATTTTCAATTTTTTCAGGGGGAACATTCCATAATTTAATTTTAGTTGATTCAAAAATTGTGTAAAAATAAATAGGAAAAAAATTAAATGTTGCACTTTTTTCTCTAGAGTAGATTAAGTGCCGGTACTTTTGCTCTCATTTGACAGTCGTTAAAAATAATCCGAGCTTTGAATGTGCTCTAACCACATCATAACTATAGACCTTGGCCCATGCAAAACTTTGACGACGTATCAAATTCGTTAATCGAGAGCAAAAGTATTGGCCCTTAGAGTTAAAAACCTGCTCTAAAATGCAATTTTCAATTTTTTCAGGGGGGCGTTCGATAACTTGATTTTGGATGATTCAAAAATTGTATCAAAACAAATAGAAAAAAAATTAAATGTTTTTTAAATGTTGCATTTTTTGCTCTAGAGTAAATTAAGAGCCAAAAACCTGCTCCAAAATGCAATTTTAATTTTTTTCAGGGGGGGGGGTGTTCCATAACTTAATTTTAGGTAATTCAAAAATTCTGTAAAAATAAATAGGAAAAATATTTGAATGTGTTCTAAATATTACACTTTTTGCTCTAGAGTAGATTGAGAGCCAAAAACTTGCTTCAAATGCAATTTTTAATTTTTTAAGGGGGGGCATTCAATAACTCAATTTTAGGTGATTCAAAAATTGTGTAAAAATAAATAGGAAAAAAATTAAATGTTGCACTTTTTGCTCTAGAGTAGATTAAGAACCAAAAAACCATGTAATTAAAGTGGGTGATTAAGAGCCAAAAAACCATGTAATAAGCTCCAGATCTTTCGAGCAAGTAACAAGTACAAATGAACATACTATTATTCTGACGGAGCAAGAAAGAGCACTCCGTGCGAGATTTGACAGTGTTCTATTACCTAAGTAGAATACGTGAATCTCGCCGAGAGCAACGCTTCGTTTCAAACCGAACATGTGAATCCATTTCGGTTTCGGATCGCTTTTTGATCAATCGGGTGTCAATTTAGAGGCAAAAGTCGAAAGCGCTATTCGTCTTCCAGTGCAGGTTTAATATTATTTGATGTCCTATTTATTCGATTCTGCACTTTCAAAAGCAGGAAGTTCTGCTCCGAATAACACAAGCAAACAAACCCGATGTGACAAAAAAGCAGAATTCATCTTTCAGTGCAGGTTTTCTGGATTTGATAGCAAAATCGATATTGGACTTTTCGCTCCGAGTACACTCTTACCTTCTAATCCACATTGAAGTGAAGTTGCAAAAAAAAAAAAGAAGAGTCAGGTTATGTTGTTGTGACAAACGTGAAAAACAAAACTAATTTGTGAAACTTTTTAGCTAAAATGGGAAAAACTAAACGTGCCAAGCCCTCGGAGGTCGTCAACAAAGTGCCTTTGGAGCAGGACATTTACAATAGCAAATTCACCAAAGCCAAAGAACGACACAAGTTGAGGTTACGTCAAGAGGAAGAACAGGTTTGTAAATTTCTAATTTAAGCTAAAACTAACTTGTTTTTTTTTAGTTTGTAGACTCAAATCTATCAAAGAAAATTCTGTCGGCTGCTAGAGAGCAACAACGAGAATTGGACGATGCCTTACCAGGCTCCTCCCACCCAAAAACCACTAGACTCGGAAATGAAGATCAGAGTGACTCAGAAGAAGAAGATCTTGAGCCTGATACCTTCTACGAAAACCTGGAAATCAATGAAGACGATGAAAAAGCAATGGAAATGTTCATGAGCTCAAACCCTTTACCCAAAAGAACCTTGGCAGACATAATAATGGAAAAAATCACCGAAAAACACACTGAACTGGACACTCATTTCAGCGAAGCGGGTTCAGTGCAAATGCAAGACTTGGATCCAAGAGTTAAAGCTATGTATGAAGGTGTTAGAGATGTTTTGCGCAAATACCGCAGCGGCAAACTACCAAAGGCCTTCAAAATCATCCCAAGTCTCAGAAATTGGGAACAAATTCTCTACATAACTGATCCACCTAGTTGGTCCGCTGCAGCAATGTACCAAGGCACTAGATACTTTGCCTCTAACCTCAAAGAGAAAATGTCTCAGAGGTTTTTCAATTTGGTATTGTTGCCTAGAATCCGAGACGACTTGGCCGAGTATAAAAGGTTGAATTTCCACTTGTATCAAGCCTTGAGGAAGGCCCTCTACAAGCCTGGAGGTTTTATGAAAGGGTTTTTGTTGCCCCTATTGGAATCTGGAAATTGTACTTTGCGCGAAGCTATCATAGTAGGCTCAGTTATTGCCAGGAATTCTATACCGATTTTGCATTCTTCTGCTGCCATGTTGAAAATCGCTGAGATGGATTATACAGGGGCGAATTCTATATTTTTGAGGATATTTTTGGATAAGAAATATGCTTTGCCTTATAGGGTCGTTGATGCTTTGGTTTTCCACTTTTTAAGGTGAGATTCTGATAATAATGGTTTAGGTTGGTACTACTGATTTGTCACACTGTTGTCAACTCAACTTTTAAACAAAACAAAAAAATATCTGGATTTGATAGGGATTCAAGACAATTATAATTATTAGGTTTGGCATCACTGAGTAATTTCGATAGGCAGTTTTTGTGATGTTTTAATTGTGTCATAATCCCCTAACTCCCTCCCCATTATCGGGCCTATGAATGACGTCACTATCAGCAACTTATAGTGGTGACGTCACCCGCAGACCTCGAGATCCCAGAATTGCATGGTAAGCGAATTAGGGGAGTATGACGCATCACATAATCCAGCAAAAGATTATGCTAGGTTATCCTCGCAAAAAATTACCTAATATCTTAATTCCCATTGTTGCCAAATCAATTTTATAAAAAAATGTCATTGGGGACTTGTGCAAGTTGACATAATTTACAAATTAAGTTGGCTCTACTGCAAAAAAAAAAATTTCAAGTCCCATTTACAGTGTTGCCAACTTGTTTTTTTAAAATTTCTTCTTAGATTTGAAAGAGATCCGCGTGAACTTCCTGTACTATGGCACCAAGCCTTTTTGACGTTTGTCCAACGATACAAAGCTGACATTTCGTCGGAGCAACGCGACGCCCTCTTGGAACTTCTCAAAAAGCAAAATCACCACACAATAACGGCAGAAATACGACGGGAATTGCAGCATGCCAAGTGTCGCGACGCCGAAGACGCCAATAACATAGAAGATTGATTGTCATAAATAATAATGAAACGAGTTTTACTTTTAATAAAAACACACTTTGACAACATTGCTTTTGTAACGTAATTAAATCCCAAGGATAATACACACTACTACTACTAGTGTGTGGAACAAATCTGAAGCCCTCACCTCACCAAATCACCAGTTGTGACGTAGACAGCGTGTCATTTCTCGCCTTGATGTAGGTTGTTTGCATCACAGGTTATGATTCTGCGGGCTTTTGCTTTATGCATACTGAGTTTTACTACATTAACATTCTAAAACAACTTTTTTTAGATCTCGTTTCTATTTTCCTCTTTGCCTATTATGTTAATTAAAATTCATAAATTTAAAGCTAGTGCAAACAGCTAACGACTTGGTTATGACGTCGGAAATGGTGAACACCAATATGGCGGCGATTACCCAAAACGAAGCCGAAAAGCAATCCTTAGTAGAGTACGTGTATTGAGGTGTGTATTATCCTTGCCTAAAGCTATTAGGTTCCCAAAGTTCAGCCTGATAATGGGTATCCTGATAACGCATCTGGGGTGCCTTATGGAGATTTGCATTGTATTGAGGCCCCCCAGATGACGTTCGTTCATTATTAAGTTATCAGGACTGAGACTCTGTAATGGACAGAGTTCTTTATTTCCATCGCTATGGCAATTGCTATCTTCTTTCTTTTTGAAATTAATAGAAAGGAAACATCAATAGAGATAGAGAAAATATCCCTATTCGTTACATTAAGTCCCAACCTAGGCAACCTACCTCTCTCAAACAATTTTGGGTTGCCTGGTAATGAGTAACTTGATGACGCATCTAGGGTGCCTCATGGAGATTTGCATTATGATGAGGCACCCCAGATGACGTCATAGCAGGTTTCTCAATAGCGAGTCACCTTAAGGTAAACATTGCAACTGGACACGCTTACCTTGGAGTTAAAACCAACCCGGAAGTTACTTGCTAATGAGAAACTAGCCCTTAGTACTGTGTATTATCCTTGATTGGGACTAGTGCAAGTTGACAACAATTGACGACAATTTCAAATTAAGTTGGAATGACTACAAAAAAAAAATTCAAGTCCCATTTACAGTGTTGCCAACCTGTTTTTTTTTTTATTTTTCCTTAAATTTGAGAGATCCGCGCGAACTACCTATATTGTAGCATCCAGGGCTGGGTTCACAAGTAAAATTCTACTAGAATAATATTTTTATGACGTCAGGTTGCCTAGGAATTGTCATCATTTCCTATACTGTACGCGATAAATAGGTAGTAATTGACGTCATTGAAGTAGAATTCTACTTGTTGTAATTCCAGCCAGGCCATTTTGACATTTGTCCATCGTTATAAATTCGACATTTCGTCAGAACAACACGACTAGAATTTTTTGGAACAGTCTAGAAGTTACTAGATTTAAAATTTGTGATTTTTTAATGAGACTTAGGAATTCCGAAAATTCTAGAAGACTTTCGAATTTTCTGCAAAATCTTTTTGAATCCCTAGAACATCACGATATATAGGGAGATCTAGAATAGTATAGGATTTTCACGCTATATTCAGGATGACGTCACATTTACTAAGTTTCTGCTGCCAACCTAACAAAACTAAAAATACTTTCTAACATATTCATTGGCAACAGCGTATGTCGTTGCATGACTTGTATAAACATTTTTATTTCGTTCTAGCTGTCGTCAGATGACATTCTGGTAAATTATAAGAACAAAAATAGGCATTGACAACATTGTCTGTCCTTGTTCGATGACGTCATCCTAAATATAACATAAAAAACCTATAATGGGTAACTTGATGACGCATCTGGAAAGTCTCATAAAGATTTGCATTATGATGAGGCATCCCAGATGACGTCATAGCAATCCTTAGTACTGTGTATTATCCTTGATTGGGGACTAGTGCAAGTTGACAATAATTGACGTCAATTGCAAATTAAGTTGGCACGACTTCAAAAAAAAAAATTCAAGTCCCATTTACAGTGTTGCCAACCTCTTTTTTTTTCCTAGATTTTTCCTAAAACATATAAGAGCACTTTGGAATGTTCCAGAACTTTCTGGAATTTTTTGGAATATTCTAGAAGTTATTATGTCGATTTGAAACTCATTTTCCTTAAGGGCCCCAAAACACTACGTTCTGTCATACATATACAGAGAAACCTAAAATAGCGCTACAACTTCTAAAATAATACACTTTTGAGGTATAGTGACGTCATCGAACCCCAAAATCAATAAATAAAGATTTATTTTTTTAGAGTAAAAATATCACAAAACTAGTATATTATTATATAAAAAAAAATATTATTATTGCACTTAAACCATAAGATCTTCCACCATTAAATTAAATACCATTTATCAGCCTTATGTCAAATAATGCTGTCAGATTGAGTTGTCCAGACTTTGATTGTCTTGTCTTGACTACCTGTTGCTACAAGACTCTTATCCGTTGTGATAGCAACGCAACAAATAGCACCTGAAAATGAAACAGTTACTGTCAAATCTGGCATTAGGTGTGTTCGGTTAAAAGATGACACTAATGACAGATGACTGCTATTATTACCTGTATGTGCTTCTATTTCTAACAATAATCTAACTTCAAACATATCCCAGAGACTCAACAGTCCATTTTGGCAACCAATCACAAGCAGTTGCCCGCTCCACTTCAAAGAGCAAACGTTTGATTGAAGGGTTTTACTGAAAACTGGCATCCCTGCAATTTTTTTTTTAAGTTGGCAAAACTGTTACAATTTTGCAGTTACCTGTATTGACTTCTAGCACTTGAAACGACCCGTTTTCCGTACCGATTGCCAACTTTTGCCCATCCGGACTATAATCCAAAGCATTAATCTTTGAACCCAAATTGTACTTTTTAAAAAGCCCAAAATCGCGCACTTGCCAAATGTAGATTTCGCCATCTTCGGTGCCAACTGCAAAACAATTCTCCTCTCTGAAATAGTAAAACTTCAAAAATGACAACTGACATTTGTGACAACTACCCACGGATCAAAACGAATACAGGAAACTGCAGAATTATGATCCAAGTGTTTGTGAAGCAACAGCTCCTTGGGATTATCGGCAAGACCTTTCCAAATTTTAACATTGCAATCGCTACTGCCTGATAGCAGCAACTGACATTTTTGGCCGTAAGTTAGACAAGTGACGGCGTCTTCGTGTGCCAAAATATCAATTGTCACTCGGCCATAGTCCATATCGTATAGCAACCTACAAAATACAATGACATTTTTTGCTGTTGGTAAACTAGAGCTGTTTTCTCGCGGTGGAACTGGTTCAATTAGGTTCGAACCCGCACATTCAGTGACGTCACATTGAAAAAGTTTGAAAAGTTGTTCTCCATTGACATAAAACTGTGATTCAAATCTTGAATTTTCTCGCGTACACAAGTGATGACGTCATCTACAAATTGGTTTAAAACGTAGTTGAACCATTCATACGCCTCAGATTTCTTACATTTGATTGTCCCAGCAACCAATGACAAGCACGCTAGAGTTTGGCAGTTGCACGCAACTGCTCAAAGGCATATTTCCGATGTTGGCACTCCTGGTTTGACGGTTGTGTTCTAACGAAAACACCTTTAGTTTAGAATCATGGCCTACTGAGGTGATTTTGTCTTGACTTAAAATCAAGTGACTGACAGTGTTTTTGTGACTGTTGAATGTCGTTTTCAAATTGAATTGATTTGACAGTGAAGTTTTTGCTGGTAGAATTTGAGGTTGCTGGATTCGTTTGGGATGAGGCACGGTGAAAACTTGCTTGGGGATTTGACCGAATTCCATTATTTGGATTTCCAAGGCGTGTCGCTCATTGGGGTCGCTTATGGATTCCAAATCTACGTTTCCTTCGTAGCACAAATGATAAAACACTAAACAGCAAATTTACAATCAATTCTTACGTCTATAGAATATTTAGGATGACGTCACATTTAGTAAATTCCTGCTGCCAACCTAACAAAACTAAAAATACTTTTTAACGCATTTAAAGTAGGGTAATTTCAAATGCTTTTGGTTGGCAATGGCATGCGACGTTGCATAAACATTATCATTTAGTTATTTTTAGCTGTCGTTAGTATTATTGACACATGACATTTTGGTCAATTATAAGAAAAAAAAATAGGCATTGACAACATTATGTATCCTTGCTCGGTGACGTCATCCTAAATATAACATAAAAAACCTATACTTACAATTATTAGCCTTGATTGCTTCATCCCCTTTTTGCTTGTAGCCAAACACCAAGTCAATCCAGTGGTGCAAATTGTTGGAAACAAAATCACTTTCCAGTGCAGATTTTAAGATTTCAACAAAATGTTTAGGGCTGTTGGCCCATAGAGGGAGCTCAACGTCGCCTACTTTGACATTATTGTGCCTCAAACCAAAATTTATACCCTTACTATTCAACAAAAACCGACCTTCTTGCTCAGTGTCGTAGAATTCCGGAATTAGCTCTTTGAAATCCGACATGTTGTTGCAACAGTTTTTGTAGGCGTCCGCCACGGAATTGAACATCCTGTCAGGATGGTCAAAACGTCCACCCTGCATACAGAGCACGTAGTGCGGGTATAAACGGGCCAAGTAATACAGGACGAAACCCGGAGTGGAATAGTGCGAACCGTAGATGAATTTTGGGGCAGCCATTTCATTGTATCTGTATTTGTCAAAAAAAAATAAAAAAATTGGCAACACTGATTTGAATAAGTTAGTAACATTTGAGCAATGCAACAATGGTGCCAACTGAAATTACCATGAGACGATTTTCCCTAAATAAAAATTACACTGTGGATAGAGTAGAAAGTACACTGTGGCTACATATGTATCTTAAATAAAAAATTGGCAACACTGTTCTATAAATAGTTTAATGCTCAAAAAGATTTTTGCATCTTTTTCCATATAGCTGTTGTATGTCACAATTGGCAACATCAAGTTCTATATTATCTTAGTATATAAAGGTTTTTTCAGTTGGCGGCACTGATGACTGACTACATGTCAAACATCTCAGTGGATAGTATTTGCAATGTTGCCAACTCATTACAACTGTTCACCTTTCCAAAAGTCTAGCCAATCTGTCATCGTTCCAAGCACCCACAGGCTTGGACAAATCCCTAAAGTTGCTTGGATCGTTCAAGTCCAATTCTTCGCCTTTGTAATTGGAAATTATCCAGGGAAATACCGGATACTGCGTCAAATCGTTGACAGTCCTGTCACCTAGGCTAAACAAGTTTGTGTAAAACTTTGGTGGCAACACTGTCCGAATTAAATTACCTATTGATATATTGCAAATATTCATAGTTTGATATGATGCCGTTTTGCCATTGCAATGTTATAACGTCTTGTTGCAAATTATCAAGTTTGAGTTCCGGTTGGTCCAAGAGGGCCTCATACAAACTGTCCCTTTCATTTTGATTACGAAGCGACAAATAAATGGGCAAATTTGAAGCGGTACTGTTTGATGAGTAAATTTCTAGGCCCTAAAAGCTTGATGAGTAAAAAAAAAAAAAAAAACTATCATCAAACTCAAGGATGATACACACTACTACTATAGGATAGCCTATCCTCATAAGGCCTGCATGAAACAAATCACCCCCGCCCCAAATCACCAGTTGTGACGTAGGCTGTTTAAACAGCTGACGAGTTAGTTATGACGTCAGAAACGGTGACACACCAATATAAACAAGGCCGATAAGCAATCCTGTAGGTGTGCATCATCCTTGAATCAAACTTACAATGTGCCTCAACAAAAACCTCCTTTTAACAATGCGTTTGATGCTATTTAAATTAATTTTCAATACCAAATACTGCAAAAATAAATATATTTTACAGTGTTGCCAACATTGACAAAAATAATTACCGCTTCTACATTGTTATAAGGCTGAAAATACAGTCTCATATTGGTCAAAACGCACCGTCCCGGATTGATATTCAAAGGACAAACTTTATCGGCTTGAGTTTCCAACATGATTGTCTCGTACAAGTCCAACCAAAGTGGATCAAATGATACTCTAGAGTGTCTAGAGTGGACAATGGCGGCAATCATGTTGGATTGTTCAACTGAAGGCAGAGTGCTTGCTCTGTGTAGTTGAGCAATCATTGTCAAACAGTTGCTGATGTTGGCATAATTAAGAACAAATAGAAAATTAGCGCTTTCTTTGAACTGATATGGAGCAATAACGTTGCTCTCGAGCATCTCTATGTACTCCTTACAGCTGATGCTCAAGGCATTTTTGCTCTCAATAAACTTAGCACTTCCTTTCCACTCTTCAATAACAACACAGTCTTTTAAATGGATTTTAATTAGGGGTTTAGTAAAGTCCTTTGGCTCAAATACTAAGGACTTTGAGCACATTTTTAGCCGTCCCTCTTGCCGTTTGACGTCATAAGTTTTCCTAGTTGCGTCTTGAGGGATGAAAGTGCCGCTGAAATCTTCGAAGTAGATCTCGCCAGGATCGAGCAACAACAAAGAAAATCTGGTGAATGGATTTTTGACAAATTTTAAGTAGTTGGATTAATTTTTTGGGGTTTTTACCTGCCCTTGTCCATTTTTGACTAAGAATTAAGTACAATGGGACGGTGATTCACTGATTTGTATCATTTCGTATAATCGGGTAAATAAAAACACAAAATTCTAACCTTACAACTTGTTTTGTTGTCAATAATTGACAGTGACAGTGTCCTTGTCAATTGAAAACTTCATTAGATTTGCCTACTTGTCAATAGATAGCGCCAGTTGAATACAAAATGGCCGGTACATTTTTAACATGTCTGCAAAAGATGGAACCGGTCTTTATTACAAATATTTATTGATATCTATAGCTGTGCTTTGAGCGCTTCGGAGTTACTTCGAAGTACTCCAGTATTACAGTTTGACCCGTTCGAGTGCAAAACGCATAGAGTATGTCAGGTGTAATGTGTTCTAGAAGCTCCACACTCTGCACTCTGCACCCGAAAGCGGCCCATAATAAAAATTAAAAGGAATATGTTTTGATGCAAAACTGACTCTGGAGTAGGAATTTGTGGGCATTCATTCATTAGGAGAGTAAAAGTTATTATTCAGACAAAAATGTCACAATTTTTGACACTTGAAACATCATTGTTGCCAAACTTATTTTTTTTGACAGCTGCATTTCGTGAAATAACATTGTTGTCAACGCAGCTTCCTGTATTTTTATCTACAGGGTGTTCCACCGGGAACAAAATGATCTATACAAAGTGAGTTCGGAATGGTGGAAAGTGTCGACACTTTTTACACTATTGACACTGTGGCGTTTGTTAATTGGTACAGTAAGTTTGGTGTACACGTTTGGAAATAACTTGGTACCCGAATGGTGGGACACCGTGACTCTACAAAATGATGGAGTATTCGGTGTTATATTGCCGATTATACCTTCATCAGGTGATATACCCTGCACTACACGAACACTGCACTAGCACCGCACTATTGGAGTTTCCGATTGGTAGATCTAGTGCAATTTTTTCTATTTCTGTCTTTTTCTTCTACAGGTCGATTAAAATGATGCAAATACACTCAATGCGCACTGAATCTACTAATCGGAAACGCCATAAGATCCCATTAAGAACTCAACTGTGGTGTCATTACATTCACAGGCTGACGTTCTTTCATTGAAAAGTTGAATTGTTCAGCAGCAATCCGTTTTCCGTCTGGTGGATATAGCCAATAGAGTAGTTTCAACAGTAACAATCAGAGCAGTGCAAACAGAACAGAGTTAGTGTCAATTCAACAGAAATTAAAACAACACTTAGAATAACTCAAACAATCGAAGGAATTCAAATAGAATGACAATAATGGCATGTAATATCAACAATTGCATAATTTCCAAGAATAATACACACTACAGTAGGTAGAATATTTTACTTGGAGTAAAATTCTTGACGTTAGGGTAGAAAGAGTAAACTCTATACGTTCCAATTCACATTGGAGTGATATTAGAATTTATTGGCGTTCGGGTCTTTAAAAAAGAGTAGCAAAAGTAAACTCAAAACGTTCTAATTCACGTTGGAATAGAATCAGAACAGGGTTTTTTTCGAATTTCTCTTAAATTTGGGTGCATTCGACCGACGTCTTTGGTTTGAAGTAGAAGAAATTCCATTTTTTGCACATAAAAATTGAAAATAACATAAATATAATATTTCAAATTAAATTCTATTCAAAGTGATTAGAGCTCTAGAGTAGATTGTGACTTGTGATTATAGCATGTTAGAGTAGTATTTTTAGAATAAAAAGATCGACAATATTGACATTTTGTATTCGGAATGACCAGAGCAAAATTAATGGCGTTCGGGTTTTTAAAAAAGGAGTAGTAAGAGTATACTCTAAGCGTTCCAAATCACTTGGGTATGAAATCATAACATTATTTTAAGAGTGAAAAGAGCGTTATTAAATTTTTAAAATGTTCCAATTTTACTAGGAGTGAAGTTAAATAAATTTTTACTTGGAGTAAGATTATTTGTGTTCAGATATCAAATTCCTAACGTTTTAATTTACTTAAGAATAAAGTCAGAACTTTTTTTTTAAAATAAACAGAGCGACCCAGAGCAAAAAAAATTTTACTTCACTGATTCAAATTAGTTTACTCGGAGTAAACGGAGTAAGATTATTTGCGTTCAGAAACTAAAAACGGAGTGAAACCATTTTACAAACTATGAGCGGTTGTTGTACTACTGTATTACAACTACCTACAAGACTAGTTGGAACAGCTCCGGGGCTTCACGCGCTTATTCCTTTCGAAAAGTGTTTGTTGCACCACGCATATATTCCCTGCAAATCGGGGGCAACTAAGCACCGAAGCGAGTAGCTCGAGTGTTTCAAGCTCTTGAAAGGAATACAACTATTGCTTATCGGCCTCGTTTTTTGTTTAAACAGCCTACGTTAAGGCGGAAAATAACTTGCTGCTACGTCACAACTGGTGATTTGGCATGGGGGTGAAAAACGGTATGAAGCCGTATGAGGATAGACTATCCTGTAGCAGTAGTGTGTATCATCCTTGGGTTAGCTTATTTTTATAAGACCTGTGTGTGTGTCTTGGTCGCCCTGTATCACGATTTTGAAATATAAACAACCATTCTTTTTAATCGGGGCGTCAAGCTTCGGGTCGTTTATCCTCAGCCGTTTTCCAGTGGCAAATTTTAAGGTGCTCCACACTGTGCGGCTCCAAACAACTGGGTTGAGTTTAGAAATGGCACTCTGGGTATGAGATTAACTCTAAACCGTAAACGCACTTGTGTCACTGGAACGCATCCTACTTTAAGCATTGTGTTTTTGATGCACTCATAAAATTGAGAGGAAAAATGAACAGTTCAGTTGCACGAAACTCTAATGCACTGGAACGCCTATAAACAGTTAGGGGCGCTCCAGAGCAGCTCAGCAGTGCTTAAAGTGCGTCACTCGTAAGCGACTTTCAAAACTAGGTTTGCGTTCAGAAATAGCATTCTGGGTGTGAGAGTGACCCTAGAGTAACTCTAAACCGTTCATTAATTAACAGGTGCTTACTAGGAGCGTAACGCTGGAATCCTTCAGAAATAGAGAGTTGACGTGCGCAGAGTGCACCCAAATTACCCCATTCAGGGACTGGGTTGAATAAAGCCCCTCGGTTTTTACATTAGTTTATACCGGGCTTGACGTGATCCATGACATTGACATTCATCGCAACACTCCAATACATTCAGAAATATGGCACCCAGAGTGCACTCCAAGTGATGACGTCAGAACACTGACAAACAACTACTCCACCTTCACACTCCATTTCTAAACGCACTCGGTGAGGAGTCGGCGGAGCTCCAGTCCAAACTGCCACGGTGGTCAGATGTCAACAAAAAATAACCTTCAAAATGTCACTTGTCAACTTTTATGATTCGGTTACCGTTAAAGATACCATGACGTCATTGTATGATCATACCTAGTAAGTTGCTGTTACTACGCAAAAAAAAAATCCCCAAGATATGAGGTACTTTGGTACTTACTTCCGTTATCGCTATTTTGGGAGCTAAAGCATTAGAATATTTCATTCATTGTTTAGTTGCATATTAGAGTAGTTCGAACAGTAACAATCAGAGCAGCACAAACAGAACAGAGTTAGAGCAGATTAAGCAGAAGTTAAAACACTTAGAGTAACTCGAACAATAGAAGGAATTCGAATAAAGTCTGTTTTTGTTACATGCCATTGGACTTAACACGGAATCTCTCTAGAATTTTGAGTAGAAATCAAAAATGGTGTCGCCGCAAGCAAGTTGATACCGACCAATGAACTTTGATTTTTGTTTATAGTTCAATAATACCGACCATCATTTTGAAAATTTAACCATGTTGCCGCCATTGACAGTTTTCATGATGCAATAGATTGATTCGATTCCCGGTATAAGGGTCGGTTCACAATAACGAGTCACCTCCAGGGTAATCGTATCCAGTTGCAATGATAACCCTGGAGTTAAGTTCAACCCGGCGGTGACTTGCTATTGAAAGATACCGGCCCTAAGGCAACAATCAAACTACCAGCTGTCAATACCTGTCAAAAAAACCCCTCGAAAAAATGTCTCGTTTTGTCAATAACTTTTATTTTTTTTTCAAAAACCCCAATTAATTAAAAATCATATCGAGTAAGTGAAACATTGCCCATCATGGGCATGTTAATCCCGTGTCTTTTGGCCGCCATTTTGAACGGGTGCGCCATGCAATTGTTCAGGGAACCGATAAAAATCGGCGACGGGCCTCTATTGGCCCTCTACATGTTCATATTTTCCGCTTTCCTGCTCCTATGGAGCGTCAGAATTTATCCGGGCAATCTGAGGAAGATTGGCAGAATGCAATGTTTGTTGGAGGTAAGAATTTCCAACTTAAACTTTGGATTCTGCGCAACACGTTAAATTTGTGCGCAGAATCCAAAATTCAGAGTGCTTCAATCGACGCGAACATTTTTTTTTCTAGTTTTTCATTGCCGAATTCATTATGGAAGCAATGATAGTAGACTTTTGGTTTCCCTTGGAAAAGAACATCCATGACGCTCTACCGGTTCTGGCGCAAAACATCGAAGATTGGCTCTCAAGTAACAATCAAAATTTGAAAATTCATCTGTAACTTTGTGACATTATTTTTCAGGCGGCGACTTTTCAGCCGACGCGACAATGGATTTTCTCAAAGGTGAAACCCTACCGTTTCTGATCAGCTACGCTTTGGCTGTGTTCTTCCTCTTGGCTATTTTACAGGCCAGTAGAGTCGTCGATTTCACACTTATAAGGTTCGCCGTTGGATTTTTAATTTTTGCGATTTTGATAGCGAAAAGCGACATTTTAATAATTTGGAAACAAACCTAGTAGGCTGTGGATTTGTTGTCCCAAATTCAACGTCATACGTCAAATTTAAAATGAATAATAGGCCTTTACGGAAACGCTGATCTGACTAACCCGATCACCAGCTGATGTATTTTGTCTTTTTTTAATCGTGATAATTGAAGAGAGATGAAAAACAAACAGCTGGTGATCGGGTTAATCGGATCCGCGTTTCCGTAAAAACCTAATATATTTCTAGGGAAGAAGGTTTCGGTTGCTTTTTAAAACACCTTAAAAGGAAGTTCAAGCTGGGCCTTAGAAGAATCGGGCGTCAACTGGGGTTGGTGCAGCGCCGAGTGCAGATCGATGAAGCTCGGAACACGCACCAGGATTATTGTTGTATGGAATCGACGAAAAAAAAGCACGGCAAGAGGAGAACGAGCAGCGGGTGTCCTCTGGATGTCGACCCCAGTGGTTTTGAAGATTTGGGATCGCTGAGCGAATTTGAATTCAACTGAAATTGTTCGGAGTATAGTAAATAAATCAACCGACGCCATTGCAGTGAATTTTTCATTTTATCTGAGGCGTTTTCTCGCGGGGCGAATGGTTCGAACTACGGTTTAAGTTTAAACCAATTTGTAGATGACGTCATCACTTGTGAACGCGAGAAAATGGAAGGTTTGAACCACAGTCTTATGTCAACGGAGAACAAGCCATGAGTCCGGTTTGAATTTTTTTGAACCAGGTTCAATGTGACGTCACTGGTTCAACGCAAGAATGTACAGATTCGAACCTAATTGAACCGGGTCGAACCAGTTCCACCGCGAGAAAACAGCTCTGGTGTAACAGTTATTTGATTTGGTTCCAAAGTGTCGCTTCGAACTGCTCTAGAGCTATTTTTCAACCAAAGAATAGGTTTAGGATAATTTTTATATAAATCAAATCATTTTCATTATAATCTCTGCTTTCCAGTAATGAATTTTAGGGTGCTCCAAACCCGTAACTTCACACTCTGATACTCCAAATAACTGTTGTTTCACTGAAACACACCATACTTCATGTTTTTGATGTAGGTACCAATGAAATTGCTGCTTGAAAAAGCAGAGGAGAAGAAAAATGGAGGGTTCAGTTGCGCGAAACTCTAATGCACTGGAACACCTATAAGCAATCCGGAGCGCTCTAGAGCAGCTTAGGAGTGCTCAAAGTGCGTCACTGGAAAGCAACTCTAAAGACTGTTGAATGGGATTTACTCCAAATTATTGATTGATAAATTGAACTAGTTATTATGGCGCCATCTATGATTGAGCGTCAATGTCAAAAAATCCATCAGAGGTAAAGTTGGAACTTGGCAGCATTAATGACATCATTCAGCAACGCCATTTTGAAAAATATATCGTGACAAATTTTTATATTGCTAGCTTTAGGTCAGTGCACTTGGAACAGTCAGAGTAGAATTACTAAGAGCCCCAAATAAATTTTCAAATCAGCCTACTGTTATAGTAAAAATTCATTGTTTAGTAGTATATTAGAGTAGTTCAAACAGTAATAATCAGAGCAACAGAATTAGAACAGTCAAAGCAGTTCGGACAGTTAAACAAACCAGTGCACTTGGAACAGTTAGAGTAGAATTAATTATAGCCCAAAATTAATTTTCAAATCAGCCTACTGTTATAGTATTTAAATAAATTCATTGATTAGTAACATAATGAAGTAGTTCGAACAGTAACCAACAGAGCAGTGCAAACAGAACAGAGTTAGTGCAAATGGAACAGAAATTAAAGCAATTGGGATACTTGGAGTATGTTCAGCTTAAAACGAAGTGTTGCTTTCGACGAAATTCCAGTGTTTGATTTGAGCAATAGAACGCTCTTAAATCTTGCGAATGCTCTGGGAGCAGTAAAGCCGCAAATATTATTTATTTCGGAGTGAGAATTCGGAACTGTATTCGCTTGCCCCGGTTCATAATTTGTATCGTTCGCGAACAACTAAATTTTCAGTTCCTTGTTCGCGGATCGACTCGAATCGATTCTGAACTACTCTAACCGGCTCTAAGGATCGGAGCTGTAAGTTCATTCATGACATTTTATTCCGTTCTCCGTTCAAATCTCCTGAGCCTGTTCCAAATAATGTCGGAAATTGAGCCGCAAATAAAATAAAACAATAAAAAATAATATTTAAATTGTCCCGGTTCACCAATTGTATCGTTCGCGAACAACTTTCACAGTTCTTTCTTCGACTCGAATTGGTTCTGGATCGATTGTGAACTACTCCAACTTGTTCTAGTGATTGGAGCAGTAAGTTCATGACACTTGCAATTTGTTCCGTTTACTGTTCCTGAATTCATTTAAAATTATATAATTTTAATTATAAAAGAATAAACAAACAAATATAAATAATGTATTTTTAATTCAAAATAAATCAATTTCAACTTACCTAACCTCACTTTCCCAAAAACTAACAATGAACGCTCTCAAAAAGGGCTTAATCCACCTAAAACCGCCCTTAACGAGACCGAAAACTACCCAATCCCCAGCCGAATACTGCCTGGACTCGATCAGGTAAATTTAAACCTTAAAAATAATACAAAAAATTAAACCCCCTTTTTATATGTAGAAAATATGATTATGAAAACTTCCTTTGCACGATTTTATTGAAAAACACCTCTAGATCGGTAGCCTTGGCAGTCAGAGGGTTGAACGTGGAAATAGCCAGGGTTGCCGAACAAACGTCGCAAGACAACATTGGCCTGATGCGGCTCAAATTCTGGGAAGAAACCATCAATAAATGCTATAGCAAAGACTTAAAACTTATACCCAAACATCCGGTTGCTTTAGAGCTTTATAGAGTAACTATATTGTCGTTTAGGGCCGGTTTATCAATCAAGGGATAACTCGCAGAGTTTGCTGACCCTGGGTCAACTCTAACTCTGGGCTGGAATTTAGCAGTTAACCCTGGATAAAAAATACATTTGTCACAACTTTGACCCAGGGTTATCCCTAACTCCTTTTATTGATAAACCAGACCTAAATGTAAACAACTAAATGGTTATTTTATAGGCGATTTCAAACGCAAATTTGACTAAACGGTATTTAAACAACCTGGTTGTTGCTAGACAAAATTATATAAACAAAACTAGTTTCCAAACGTTAGAGGAAATGGAAAAATATCTTGAACAAACCATGTCAAATGTGTATTATTTGATATTAGAAGGATGTAATATTAAAAATGTCCATGCAGATCATGCTGCTTCTCATTTAGGTAAAGCTCAAGGCATTATACAACAATTAAGGTAACTATTGAGTTATATAATTATTGTATTATTAGCTTATTGGTTGCAGGAGTATTCCACATAGTAGGCAACTTAATTTTATCCCAATACCACAAGAAGTTCTTATAAAACATCATTTGAGTCAGCAAGATGTTTTGAGAGGTACTAAATCAGAAAAATTATCAAATTGTGTTTTTGAAGTGGCTTCCAGGGCTCATCAGCATTTGGTGAAATCTAGGAGTTTAATGGAAAAAGTGCCTAAGGAGGCTAGAAGGGTTTTGTTGCCAGCTATACCGGTTTCAATTTATTTAGACCGATTGCTGAGGGTGGATCATGATATTTTGGATCAACATTTACAGCGTAGATCATGGAATTTGTTAGTTAGTTTGTATTTTAGTATGTTGATGAATAAATATTGATAGTTTTTTTTTTTTTTTAATTCACTCACAAGCACAGCTTGTATCGCAAGCATTACATAAAGGTTTGCGGGGACGTAACAGTGGTGACGTCATCTGCAGACCAGTTGCCAACTCGAGAACTAATGAACGTATGCCTTATTAGGATGAGTAGTCCTCTGTTTGATGGAGTGTCCTTTTACTAGGCCTACTAAATACACAAACATAAAAGCTTCAATGGGACCAATTGGCCCATTTCATACAAGTTAAATCGTCTTATTACGTCATTGGTCTGGTTGGTCAGGTCTGTATTATAGATATTTACTTACCTTAACATATTCGAGAGCCGAGAATAGACAAAAATTGATTTGAAAAAATTGACTCCATGGAGATTTTTGCTAAGTAAAATGGCATTTTATTTGAAAATTAACATGCCAATTATGGAAAATTTGATACCTCGCATTACAAAACTCATTTCAAAACACTTTTCCGCACTGAAATCGAGAAATATTCGAGAAAAACCAGAGTCAAATACTACTACGGCCATTTTTGTTGAAAAACACAATTTTAAAATGGCCATCCAAGGCCTACTTTGATGTTTATTTCGAAAAGTGAAGTTAGCTGATATTACAGAGATTCAATACACCTTTAAGCCTAGTACTCATAACTGCGAAATTCGCACTTTTTTGACATTGCTTTAACAATTTGACGTTTGATACACGCATAAAACATCAAAATGTCGACGCAATGTCAAAAAAATTTCGCAGTTATGAGTACTAGGCTTTACAGTGGCGACAATGAAGGTCCCGTCGCCATATTTTTGCTAATTTTGAATATTTCATTGGTGAATATAGAAGTGAGCCCAGGCTCCCGTCGCCATATTCTTGCCAATTTTCTATATGAACATTTAGGATTTTAAAAATAGGACGGCAATTGTCGTTACTGTAGCTAATCTGACAGAAAGTGTCAGATTAGGTTACCATGGGAATATTTTCTATGGAAAATGGCATTTTATTTGAATATTTAATCCAATAATTCCTCAGTCAATTAAAGGCGATTAACCAGTCGGTTATATTGACAGATGAATAATGCATTTAACGTCATTTATTACCGATTGGTTGACAAATGACGTTTGCTTCATTGGTTATCTGTCATTTATGACCAATTGGTTAATCGCGTTTAATCGATGCTCGTATCACAAACATTTTTTGCACTGAAATCCATTGAAAATCGGAACATATTCGAGAAAAACCTATGATGGTCAAAAAACACAATTTTAAAATGGCCGCCCAAAGCCTGCTTTGATGTTTTTGAAACGTGAAGTTAGCTCATGAATAATTTTCACATTACTTGATGAAAAATTAAATTTTCCCTAAAAATTCAATTATTTGCAACTTGCACCTCAATAAACGTTCTTTTTCCTATAGAACTAACAAAATGTAATAGGGCAATCCAACGACCTGTTAAAACATCAATTCAATATGAAGGCGACGGTCAAACATCACATCTGCGATGTGTGTTTATGTATAGGAATATCAAAACCCAATGTGGCCGGTCATGGTCAAACAATGAAATTAGGGCTAAAAATATCGTTTATTCTCAGACAACCGGGTTCTTTGTGTGTAATTTGTGGATTTTTGAGGGGATTTTCTATTAATAGGAAAGGATAATTTACGTATTTTCGTAGTGTATAAACAAAAAAACTGCTGAAAATGATGACGTCACCCGTTATCCGTAGATGAACTGTCAACTGGAGAACTGGCAAACGTACGCCTTATCAGGATGAGCAATCCTGTTTGATGGAGTGTCTACACATGAACTAGTTAACTGATACCCAAGTTAAATCATCTTATTACGTCATTGGCCTCATGTATCTAGTAGATTATTTTGGTCTGTAAAGATAGATTTTTACTTATTTACCTTAACCATAAGTTTACTGGGAAATAGAAAAATCGCCTCTCTTCTATAGCAACGCATCTTTTACTCGGCTTAAGTAAATTCTTACACATTTAACCACAAAAAATACAACAATAAAAAATAATCTTAATGAAGAAATATTATCATTAATTGGCAGATTTTTCATTCACATACTCTAAAGTCCATCCAACCTACTATAGAGTAAACAAATAACGTACCTTTCACAAGAGGTTTGTTACTATTGGTCAATTTACACTGTAGAGTGACGTTTTGTAAAATTGTGAAATAGTTTTGCAGTGTAAACCGGGCCGCCATGTTTACTCCGTAGATCTATTAAACCAAGTATAGTGTATATCCTCTATTCACAATCTGAAGTCCGAACTCAAGTTGAGATTTATCACCTTTTAGTTGGTAGTTTATAGTTATTTTATTTTTATTACCTGCATGAGTTGGTAAACCTTTTAATATGTCTTTTGTGAGGTTATACATGTGTCATACTTCAAAATGTTTAGATAATAAAAATAAAATCCCTATCAACCACCAACTAAACGGTGACAAATCTTACTTCTAGCTCAGATTTCGAATTGTGACTAGATTATAAAAGGCGCAAAATAACCTGTCTATGAATATTAAAAAAAAAATAAAAATTAAGTTGGCAAACCTGTGACACTGTCATTTGTCTTTTAAAACTTAAAACTAATTGACCTAAAGATTTTTTTGCCTAACTTTTCTTGAAAAACGAACTAATACTTTTGCTGCCGCTAGCGGCTTTGGCTCGAGCCTTATCTTTAGCCGAAATCTTCTTGGTTTCCGGTTTACTCAAGTCCAGCACGTTACTGGACGAACTTTTATTTTCGTCTTCGGTTTTCGGTTTTTTCGCTTCTTGCCCCGGAGCGCTCTGAGTGCTTTTTCGCTTCAGCGTTTGCTGCAGCGACTCATCAGGCAGATTAAGGAATTTCGCTAGTTTCAGACTCAGATCATCCATTAGATATTCTGAGACTATTCCATGTGCGTAGCGCAGATAAGTCTCTGGATCTGAATCGGATTTTGAAGATTTGACAAAATTACTCGATATTGCTCCTGCGTTACTGACATGAATGTTTTTTTGCTTCAATATATCGGCCACCCGTTCGGTTTTCTTTTTTAGCCAATTTAACGTTTTTTCTTCATTGTATTTGAAGGCGTTCAAATCTTCGTCGCCCTAAAAAGAAACAATGTCATACTTGTCATAGTTAAATGTCAATTCTTACCCGGCGATCGGCGATCATGGTGAGGTAAGTGAGACCGCTGGATTTGAGTAGGCGTTCGGTTTCGGGAAATTCGTCGTCTATCAATAATTGCTGGAGCGGTTGAGCGTAGGTGGTGCAATATTTGCGTAGATATGGCAACACTGGAACAGATTTTTTAATTGAGGGTGCGTTAATGACTATCAGTTTTGTGCTCTGATTGGTTGATTAGAGGAAGTTTAAATATTTGACAAATTAATTTTACCACTAGACAAAGATAGATAATACAAAAACTTCATTAGATGAAAAAAGACGTAGTAACGCCCTTTGCGCAAGAAGTACTAAATCATGTTAGACTTATGTACAGCAATCCGTCCTTCTCATTTACCCAAGATAAAAAGAGAAAGAGGAGAGTCTTCTTGACGTGCATCAAATTTTACAATTAAAAACCGTTCAAAAACTCAAACAACTTTTGAAGTTTCAGAAGCCATGATTTAAAAAATCGATCACTTGTCAAGTTAAAAATCAAGCCTAATTTCATCTTTGTCAGATCATGAGCAATGAAAAAGGACAAGGAGATGCCCAGTGTGAAAAATGGACACACCTGTACTAATCAACGAATAGAAAAGTATTGCATTGCCTTGAGTCCTGTTTTTTTTTCTTTGCAGACGAATTGGATAAAAAATCAACATAGAACTCAAAACTCAAAGATGCTTACGTCATCACTGGTACTTTGGCGAAGTGGGAGGCTTGAGATTTGATCTACACAGGTGTGTAATATCCTTGTACAGAACTAAACATCTCAATGTCAATGGTAGCCCGACGCCATTTTGTTCCACGGTTCCTAGTTGTTAAAGGTTTTTGATTTTCAAGTGGGTACTACTTTATTAATTATTTCCTTTGTTTGGTTTTAATCGAATTCTGATGTCCTACATTGTCTCTGTCTTTGTCTCTTATTTATAATCGCGTTTGGTGTTTTTTGCAAAAGCATACTACTTTAATGTTGTCTTTGTCTTACTTGCTATAAACACTGACTTGTATAGCAAAACTCAAGTAGGCCTTGAAATGTCATTTTTATTGTTTTTTTTTTTCGAATTTCTCGTTTTTTAATCAGAAACCAATGAATTTGCATATTTTTCAAGAAAATCCCGAGCCCGCAGGGCGAGGGTTTTTTCAATTACGAGCCCGTAGGGCCGGGGTTTTATTAAATCGCGAGCCCGAAGGGCCGGGGTTTTTTTAAATCCCGAGTCTGTCGAGAATTTGAAAAAGAATATGGCAGCACCGCTTATAACACAACAAACGTAAAAATTGACGTTTCAAAGTTGGCCTTGCTTTCTTTGACAGTTGGCCTCGAAATTACGGCTGGATTCCGTTTTCAATTTTGGTTACGGTGATACATTCCGTAATGTCTGGTGCCTGAAAAACCGGTTTATACGGAACGCGGTTCCTGAAAATAGTTATGTCAAACATGTCATTGAGGCTACCAGCTGCGATTCTGCGATTGGAAAAGCGTTCTTTATGAAACCCGAAATTTTCAGCAACGTTGTACCGACCGATTAACCTGGTTGGGAAATGGAACACACTCTTAAGGGTGCGTTAATGACATCTGTCAGTCAATTCTGTGTTCTGATTGGTTGATCAAAAAATGTTAAAGCCAAATTCGACTCATCTATTTTACCAGACTGAGGTTAACAATTTAGATAAAAAAAGACGCAGCAATGCTCATTGCGTAAAACTTACTGAATCATGTTAGATTTATGTACAGCTATCCGTCCTCCTTATTTGCACAGGATAAAAAGGGATAGAGAGAGTCCTCTTGACGTGCATCGAATTTTACAATTAAAAACCGTTCAAAAACTCAAACAACTTGTGACGTTTCATAAGCCATAATTCGGAAAATCAATTACTTGTCAAGCTACGTAAATATCAACCCTAATTTCATCCTTGTCAGACTACGGGCAATAAACAAAGACAAGGACATAACTAGCGTGCAAAACAAACACCTCACATCTGTGTTAAATTATTAGTTACCGACTAAAAAAACATAGTTTTGTGTTCTGTTTTTTTTTTTTCTTTTTGCAGACAAATTTGGTAAAAAATCGACACAGAACTCGAAAATACCTACGTCATTACTGATACTTTAACGTGGTGGGGGCCTGAAGATTTGATCTACACAAGCCTTATGAAAATAGGCTAAATAGTGTGTAATATCCTTGCACAGAACTAACATCTCAATGTTAATGGTGGCGTTCATCATCCCTCCTGAAGTGGACGCCATTTTGTCCCACGGTTCCTAAAGTTAAAGGTTTTTAATTTTGAAGTGGATATTAGTCAATAACATTATTTACTTTGTCTCGTTTTATTCGAATTTTGACGTCACACATTGTCCCTATCTTTGTCTTACTCATTTATAATCGCGTTTGGTGATTTTTGTAATAGTATACTACTTTATCGTTGTCTTTGTCTTACTCACTATAAACATTGACTTGTATAGCAAAACTCAAGTAGACCTTGAAATGTAATTTTCATTGGTTTTTCTTCAGATTTTCTGCTTTTTAATCAAAAAACAACGAATTAGCGTCTTTTTCCGCCATTTTTAGGGTGGGTATTATAAAACTACTTCGAGAGTTAACTTCTGGAATTACAAGTAATTCAAAAAGTTAACTGTCAAAGCAGTGTTATAATACCCGCCCTTAGACTTAACCTTTAACTTTAACCTTGATATTGTCCATCTACGCTTCGGATCAATCAAAAATATCTTGATGAAAGCGACCATTAACATTTCTTTATGCCTTTCCAGTGACGAATGTTAAGGTGCTCCACACCCGTAGTTTCACATTCTGTTGTTCCAAACAACTGCTGTATCACTAAAACGCAAAGTATGACGTCATTTCGGAGCCAACTGTCAAAGAAAATAAAGTCAACTTTAAAACGTCAGTTTTTTGACGTTTGTTTGTACTGTTGTGGTGTTGTCATATTTTTTTTTCCGATTACAAGCACAAAGAGCCGGGATTTTTTTAATTCCGGGTCCGCAAGGTAAGGGTTGTTCTAATTCCGAGCCCGTAGGACCAGAGTTTCTTTAAATTGCGAACTCGTAGGACCAATTGTCAGACAAACCAAAGCCACCTTTAAAACGTCAGTTATTTGACGTTTGTTATGAGCAGGGTTGCCATTTTTTTTTTTTTTAATTACGAGCTCGTAAATTCAGGGTTTCATTAAATTGCGAACCCGTAAGGCCAACTGTCAAAAAAAAACAAGGCCACCTTTGATGTTTGTTGTGTTGTGAGCGGTGTTGCCGTATTTTGTTTCAAATCACGAGCCAGTAGGGTCGGAGTTTTTTTTTAATCCTGGGCCCGTAGGGCGAGGGTTTAGGGTCAGGTTTCTTCAAACTGCGAGCCCACAGGACCGGGGTTTTTTAAAATCTTAAGTCCGTAGGGGCGAGAATTTTTGGTAATACGCACGAATGTTTATAAAACGCTGCGGGCTCGTAAGTTGAAAAAAAAAAATGCGGCAACATCGCTTATAATACAACTAACGTCAAAAAACTGATGTTTCAAAGTTGGTTTTGTTTTCTTTGACAGTTGGCCAAGGCCAAGGTTCCTAAAGTTTATAGGCTTTCTGGTAATTGGTAACTTGATGACGCATCTGGGATGCCTTATGGAGATTTGCATTATGTTTAAGCATACAGATGACGTCATAAAAGTTATCAGGAAACCGACCTCTCTCAAACAACCTTGACAGTTAGCCCCGAAATAACAACTTTTTAAATCCTTTTTTCTGCTAAATTGTATGTGTCTAATGGCGTTTCCGAAATGCTATTCAGACAACGTCAACATGTCACAGCTTTGACAGTTATCATGAAGTTTTAACTGTCAACCGCCTGGAATCGATAAAAAATGCATTTTTGTCCATTTGTAAGTTGACACATTGTGACAATTGACGAGCGAATTTCCAATTGACAATTGGCACGATGACAAACTGAGGCCAATTTGATATAGTTTTAAAACGATTAGTGAAGGCCTAAAGCCAAAATATCAACTGGTGAAAACCCACTTTGGTCTATTTGTAAATTGACACGTTGTAACAATTGACAAGCGAATTTCCAAGGCCATTATGACTTTTGACAATTGACACGATGCCAAGACCAAACATCTTTCTTACCTTTTGGGACCTCAATTGTCAATAATTTCGATTCAATTCTCAGAAAAGGTCCCTTATTAGACTATCCAAGATGCTGTCAAACTTAAATTAAAATGTCCGCCAAGAGGCACACAAACCTTTTGTTTGTTTTTCAAAGTGACGTGTTCTGGATAGGCTGACTATTCAAGGTGCTGTCAAACTTATATTAAAATGTCCGCCAAGAGGCACACAATTCTTTGTTTGCTTGTCAAAGTCACGTGGGGAGACAAACAAAACGTTTAAGGATTATTTACACACATTAGTTAGGCGTTAGCTATTACGTCACAAATAACATAATGACATCACTTTCAATAGGGGGACAAACAAATGATACATTTATTTGCGTATACAGGATATTTACGCTATACTTACGATGACGTCACATTTAGTGAATATCTGCTGCCAACCTAAAATCTGGTTTTTTTTTTAAAGATAAAAGTCAAACTGACATTATGTTGGCAATACAATGTAAAATTGTCAATGCTTGAAATTTTTTATGTAGAAAAGGCTTGTGTTGCCAACATAGTTACTAAATTTTTGACTGAAAAAAAAAAAGAGGCATTGACAACATTGTCTGTCTTTGTTTTATGACGTCATCCTAAATATAAAGCATTGAGATATAAAGTAAATAACCTTTAGTAGTTAAACGTTTTGCTTGTCCTCGAATAGGGCAATTTGATGTTCTCTCAATTCTAATATGGCGTCGTGGGAATAACACACCTGACAAATGTAAATCAAATTGCAAAGATTTTTTCAAAGACCTCGTCATTTTTCTTCCCTAAAGGCCCCTTTACACCCGCAATTTTTATTGCTGCTATTTTGTAGCAATTCTCAAAGGCAACAAAAATGGGAGCCTACTATGATTGATTTCAATTGACAAGTGGCAACACCGTATAGAAATAACAACAAACCAATTTTTTTTTTTACAAATGTGATCAAAATTACCTAAAAATATTGGATCAATCGGTGTAGAAAGTTTCATTTTCCCATCGCTTTTGACCGATTCGTCGATGAACCAGCTCCGCTTGGCCTCGTTCAGAGTCAGCACTTCTTGCACCGAATTATTGGCGGGCGAAAACAAAAAAACAGCAGATTCTCCAGTATTGGGGTGTCTCAGAGTGACAATATCTGGAGTCCCGCTGCCCGTATATTGATCAGAAAGTTCTAGAGTTTCACCTACAAAAGCACCAATAGTGACGTTTTTTGGGTTAATCGAATGGGGCTTACCTTTGAGCAAAAATACCCACGAGTTGGTAGGATTTTGTAAATTCGACTTTACGCACTTCTTTGGTGAGGCCTTTACGCGAGGCATTTTCCCGCCCAGTAATAAGAAAAATCACTGCCCTGCTGCAGCCGAAGGGGGCGATAATCAATAAATCCGATTGGACATTTTTTTTTTTCGGTTTTTTTTCCGAAAACAAACTATCCGGGAAAGAATGTTTTTGTTTTTCTTCTTTTGACAGACTTCAGACTGCCTGCATAAATTTTCCAGTTACAATGCACAAAACGACACTAACTTACCTGTGTTTATGTTGCCATCTCTGTCTAATCACTATGTAATAAACAAAGAGGGCAATATATTCGGGGAGTAGTTATTACTAGTCACCTATGCTAAAATATATTTCAATATTTTACAGTGGACCAAATCAAGTAAAAGTTGCTGGAAATCACCATTGTCCAATTAAATCAATTTGGTTCGTTGTCAAGATGTGATGCGCAATGACAACTAATTTTTGTTTTGATTTTTAACAGAATTATGTCGATACCTTGTTTCGAGAGAGATAGGTTACCTGAGGCCTTATTCTGTAAAAAACGAAGCGTTCGATTCGGTAGAATTTCTTCGATTGTAACGTCATTTTCGGTTTGCTAGCATGGAAGCTATTCCGAAAATGACGTCACAATCGAAGAAATTCTACCGAATCGAACGGTTTGCTCTTTACAGAATGAGGCCCCTGACGTCATCTGTGGTGCCTAAACATATAAATGCAAATCTCCAGCTGTATCATCAAATTACCAATTACCAGGCAACCCTATTAACCTTGAGTATCAATAAATCGGCCTTGCCCAATACAAAATAAATCATCAACAAACAAAATCATTTTATTAACTTAAAATCTAGTCTTCAACTTCTAACTTCTTCAGTTTCAATTTATCAAGTTTCTCTTTGACTGAATCGATTTCCTGTTGAGTCACTGTAACCTCGACTCCGCACTCTTTTTGCTCATCTCGAATAAACTCCAAACTTCTAATTTTCTCCTCCAAAAAGGCTGGTTGCTCGCGTTCAAACATCAACCGCAACTCTTGCAATCGTTCCTGTTTTATTCCTTCGCAATATCTGTCAGTCAATTTCTCCAATGACCATTTACGTGTTACTGGAATTGGATCAGTAGGCGATGGTTTATAAACAATATTCAACTCCTCCAAGATCCACTCGAACTTTTTGTAGTCCCACTTGCGCAAATATCTCAAGTGTTTTTTGCGTTTTTCTATAAGTTCTTTTAGGTTTACTTTGACTCGTTTGTTGTAAGGGAATCGTTCCATGATTTCTTGCCAGGCCCTGATATATCCGGTCCAGCGGGCCAACTTCACTTCAATTGAAGCCCCATCATATTCGTGCCGTTTGATTTTGTCCGTGTTTTGTTTGATGTATAGTTTTTGGGTGCACTTGTTGGGGTTGAATTCTAAAGTGAATAAGCGTTTTACGTAATCGTTTGCAGTTTCCAGTTCTTTGGATTTACTAAAAATAAAACAATGTAGGATGCTATTCTTGAATTTTGAAATTAGTTACCTGAATTCTAATAAATATTGGTTTTTGTTTATCGAAGGCATCGAGACCAAGTCACCGGAATGATGGGGCTTGTAGCAGGGGATTTTCTCGGGTCTCACCCATTTTATTTTCAGGTCGGACTTGAAAGCGTAGGTTCTGATAATTAGGCCTACGAGGTCTCTTTCCACCCGAGTAGAAAAGATTTTGTTCATTTTTTAAAAAAAAAAATCTAATAAACCTAACCTAACTTTTTATGACAGTAGTACCAACTGAAAATTCGAAAAAAAATTCTTATGCCTAACGCCATGTTGAAAAACATAAGGTGGGTTCGGCTCGCTCACTCCGGAGTGCACGGTGACTCCATTCGTACTCCAGCCGTTCGGGTATTGCTTTTAACCGTATAAGAAGTGACTCCATTAGCTCTGTTCACTCCACTCCAACTCCGCGCTGAATAGCCGAACCCAGCTCTGTCGATATGTTTTGTTAGATTCACTCTTTCGCACGCTAAATGCTATTAACATTTATCATTTGTCTCACTTCCGTTACATTTTTTTTTCTGTCGTAACATCCAATTCACAAAGTTTGTGATAATTCTACTCTGACTGTTCCAAGTACACTGACTTTTTTTGATCTATTTAACTGTCCAAAGTACTTTGACTGTTTTAATACTGTTCCATTTGAACTTAAAATAAAATCCCGACTCTCGACTCTATCTACAACTAAATTAGTTTCAAATTGGTTCGGCTTATGTACTGCACTTCCTGTTCTGCTCTAATTATTTTAGCTCATCACTTTTCGTACTGCATTTTCTGTTCTACACACTGAGGCAATAGTTTCTTTTGAATCAGTCGGAACTAATTCGCAACCATTTACATACGCACATTGATCGCGGATCGATAAATTCTACTTGCTCTAGAGCACACTCAGTTTCCATTTTAAAAGTGCAATATTTCGTGTTCGAATTGATTTCAGTCATTTACGAGTAACATTTCAAGTGTTCGAATACTAGAGTTGAGTAGCAGTTCAAGTTTTTGATGTAACTTTGCCAGATTTCAAGCTTTTTGAAATTGAGATTTTCAGTTCTGTAAGTGCATTTTATAAAAACCCAGTTCCAATTTTGTTCTATTCTAGTTGCTCTACACTTTCTGAACTACATTTTTTGTACTGCATTTTCTGTTCTGTCCAATCTGCACTGTACTTTTAACTTTGTAGTTTCGTTTGCGGATCAACAAATTTTTCTTGTTCTAAACCATGCTCAGTTCCCATTTTGAAAGTGTAATGTAAGTCTCTACCACAATTTTTAATTAGTTTCGAATTGGTGTAGATTGTGCACTGCACTATTTGTTCTATTCCAATTGCTCTACACTTTCTGAACTGCATTTTCTGTTCTGTCCCATCTGCACTATACTTTTAACTCTGTAGTTCTGTTTGCGGAACAATAAATTTCACTTTTGTCCACTGCACTTCCACTCTAGTTGGTTCACACTTTGTGATGTGCACGTATTGTACTGCACTTTCTGCTATGTCTTTTTTGCACTGCACTTTTAGCTCAGCACTTTTCGCACTGCATTTTCTGTTCTGCACACTGTATTCTCATTCCGAAAGATTTCGTGTTCGGATTGATTCGAGTCACGAGCAACATATCAAATGTTCGACTCTTCGAGCCGGACAGTAGTTAATGTTTTTTATATAACTTTACAATTTCAAAATTTTTGAAATCAAGATTTTCAGCACCTTGAATGTCGATTTCGGAATGAGTGATTCTAAATTAGCTCTAACCAACTTTTTGCTCCAAACTGCACCGATCACACGTTCGGCTTAAAACGGAGCGAGATTCATATGAACAAATAGAACGCTCTTAAATCTTGCACGAAGCGCTATTTCTTGTTCTGTCGAATTCGATGAATATGTTCCAAATTGTTCGAATTTGGCCTCTTAGTGTAAATAGAACAATTAGATTCACATTTTCTTACACAGAGTAGAAAATGGAGTTCATTCCACAAGTCCTAATTCCCGAAATTTTTTTTTTAGGGTAATTGGAGTATTCTTTATTCATTGAATACATGACCAAAAAGTGTTCCAACTTTTTTGTGTTCTGAATAGACGAACACAGCTATTCTTTTAATTCTGTCCAAACTAGAATATGAGTCAAATGTGCTTGGAGTGGCTCTAATATCAGATCACGTTCCGAACCGATTCAATATCGGTTCGGAACCAATTCAAACTAGCCGGATTTGCTTGGCTCATGCTCATTCCGTGCACTCCATGTTCATTTTAGCCGTTCGGATATAAGTAACTATTTAGAGTGAATAGAGCAGTTAGGGTCACATTCAGTTAAACAGACTTAATAAATGGAGTTCATTCTAAAAGTCGTATTTTGCGAAAACGATTTTCCAGAGTAATTGCTATACTCTTCACTTTTAGAACACATGACCAAAAAGTGTTCCAACTTTTTTGTGTTCTGAATAGACAAACACAGCTATTCTTTTAATTCTGTCCAATTTCCTAAACTAGAATATGAGTCAAATGTGCTTGGAGTGGCTTAAGCAAGTCTGCTCTAATCACAGATCACGTTCCGAACCGATTCAATATCGGTTCGGAACCAATTCAGAACTAGCCGGATTTGCTTGGCTCATGCTCATTCCGTGCACTTCATATTCAGTTTAGCCGTTCGGATATAAGTAACTATCTAGAGTGAATAGAGCAGTTAGGGTCACATTCAGTTAAACAGACTTAATAAATGGAGTTCATTCTAAAAGTCGTATTTTGCGAAAACGATTTTCCAGAGTAATTGGAATACTCTTCACTTTTAGAACACATGAAAAAAAAGTGTTCCAACTTTTTTGTGTTCTGAATAGGCGAACACAGCTATTCTTTTAATTCTGTCCAATTTCCTAAACTAGAATATGAGTCAAATGTGCTTGGAATGGCTTAAGCAAGTCTGCTCTAATCACAGATCACGTTCCGAACCGATTCAATATCGGTTCGGAACCAATTCAGAACTAGCCGGATTTGCTTGGCTCATGCTCATTCCGTGTACTCCATGTTCATTTTAGCCGTTCGGATATAAGTAACTATTTAGAGTGAATAGTGCAGTTAGGTTCACATTCAGTTAAACAGAGTTAATAAATGGAGTTCATTCTAAAAGTCGTATTTTGCGAAAACGATTTTCCAGAGTAATTGCCATACTCTTCACTTTTAGAACACATGACCAAAAAGTGTTCCAACTTTTTTGTGTTCTGAATAGACAAACACAGCTATTCTTTTAATTCTGTCAAATTTCCTAAACTAGAATATGAGTCAAATGTGCTTGGAGTGGCTTAAGCGAGTCTGCTCTAATCACAGATCACGTTCCGAACCGATTCAATATCGGTTCGGAACCAATTTAGAACTAGCCGGATTTGCTTGGCTCATGCTCATTCCATGCACTCCATGTTCATTTTAGCCGTTCGGATATAAGTAACTATTTACAGTGAATAGAGCAGTTAGGTTCACATTCAGTTAAACAGAGTTAATAAATGGAGTTCATTCTAAAAGTCGTATTTTGCGAAAACGATTTTCCAGAGTAATTGGAATACTCTTCACTTTTAGAACACATGACCAAAAAGTGTTCCAACTTTTTTGTGTTCTGAATAGGCGAACACAGCTACTCTTTTAATTCTGTCCAATTTCCTAAACTAGAATATGAGTCAAATGTGCTTGGAGTGGCTTAAGCAAGTCTGCTCTAATCACAGATCACGTTCCGAACCGATTCAATATCGGTTCGGAACCAATTTAGAACTAGCCGGATTTGCTTGGCTCATGCTCATTCCGTGTACTCCATGTTCATTTTAGCCGTTCGGATGTAAGTAACTATTTAGAGTGAATAGTGCAGTTAGGTTCACATTCAGTTAAACAGAGTTAATAAATGGAGTTCATTCTAAAAGTATTATTTTGCGAAAACGATTTTCCAGAGTAATTGGAATACTCTTCACTTTTAGAACACATGACAAAAAAGTGTTCCAACTTTTTTGTGTTCTGAATAGACGAACACAGCTATTCTTTTAATTCTGTCCAATTTCCTAAACTAGAATATGAGTCAGATGTGCTTGTAGTGGGTTAAGCAAGTGTGCTCTAATCACAGATCACGTTCCGAACCGATTTAATATCGGTTCGGAACCAATTTAGAACTAGCCGAATTTGCTTGGCTCATGCTCATTCCGTGTACTCCATGTTCATTTTAGCCGTTCGGATATAAGTAACTATTTAGAGTGAATAGTGCAGTTAAGTTCACATTCAGTTAAACAGAGTTAATAAATGGAGTTCATTCTAAAAGTCGTATTTTGCGAAAACGATTTTCCAGAGTAATTGGAATACTCTTCACTTTTAGAACACATGACAAAAAAGTGTTCCAACTTTTTTGTGTTCTGAATAGACGAACACAGCTATTCTTTTAATTCTGTCCAATTTCCTAAACTAGAATATGAGTCAAATGTGCTTGGAGTGGCTTAAGCAAGTCTGCTCTAATCACAGATCACGTTCCGAACCGATTCAATATCGGTTCGGAACCAATTCAGAACTAGCCGGATTTGCTTGGCTCATGCTCATTCCGTGCACTCCATGTTCATTTTTGCCGTTCAGATATAAGTAACTATTTAGAGTGAATAGAGCAGTTAGGGTCACATTCAGTTAAACAGAGTTAATAAATGGAGTTCATTCTAAAAGTCGTATTTTGCGAAAACGATTTTCCAGAGTAATTGGAATACTCTTCACTTTTAGAACACATGACCAAAAAGTGTTCCAACTTTTTTGTGTTCTGAATAGACGAACACAGCTATTCTTTTAATTCTATCCATTTTCCTGATTTAGAATATGAGTCAAATGTGCTTGGAGTAGCTTAAGCAAGTCTGCTCTTATCACAGATCACGTTCCGAACCGATTTAATATCGGTTCGGAACCAATTTAGAACTAGCCGGATTTGCTTGGCTCATGCTCATTCCGTGTACTCCATGTTCATTTTTGCCGTTCAGATATAAGTAACTATTTAGAGTGAATAGAGCAGTTAGGTTCACATTCAGTTAAACAGAGTTAATAAATGGAGTTCATTCTAAAAGTATTATTTTGCGAAAACGATTTTCCAGACTAATTGGAATACTCTTCACTTTTAGAACACATGACAAAAAAGTGTTCCAACTTTTTTGTGTTCTGAATAGGCGAACACAGCTACTCTTTTAATTCTGTCCAATTTCCTGAACTAGAATATGAGTCAGATGTGCTTGGAGTGGCTTAAGCAAGTCTGCTCTATCCACGGATCACGTTCAGAACCGATTCAATATCGGTTCGGAACCAATTTAGAACTAGCCGGATTTGCTTGGCTCATGCTCATTCCGTGCACTCCATGTTCATTTTTGCCGTTCAGATATAAGTAACTATTTAGAGTGAATAGAGCAGTTAGGGTGACATTCAGTTAAACAGAGTTAATAAATGGAGTTCATTCTAAAAGTCGTATTTTGCGAAAACGATTTTCCAGAGTAATTGGAATACTCTTCACTTTTAGAACACATGACCAAAAAGTGTTCCAACTTTTTTGTGTTCTGAATAGACGAACACAGCTATTCTTTTAATTCTATCCATTTTCCTGATTTAGAATATGAGTCAAATGTGCTTGGAGTAGCTTAAGCAAGTCTGCTCTAATCACAGATCACGTTCCGAACCGATTTAATATCGGTTCGGAACCAATTTAGAACTAGCCGGATTTGCTTGGCTCATGCTCATTCCGTGTACTCCATGTTCATTTTAGCCGTTCGGATATAAGTAACTATTTAGAGTGAATAGAGCAGTTAGGTTCACATTCAGTTAAACAGAGTTAATAAATGGAGTTCATTCTAAAAGTCGTATTTCGCGAAAACGATTTTCCAGAGTAATTGGAATACTCTTCACTTTTAGAACACATGACCAAAAAGTGTTCCAACTTTTTTGTGTTCTGAATAGACGAACACAGCTATTCTTTTAATTCTATCCATTTTCCTGATTTAGAATATGAGTCAAATGTGCTTGGAGTAGCTTAAGCAAGTCTGCTCTAATCACAGATCACGTTCCGAACCGATTTAATATCGGTTCGGAACCAATTTAGAACTAGCCGGATTTGCTTGGCTCATGCTCATTCCGTGCACTCCATGTTCATTTTAGCCGTTCAGATATAAGTAACTATTTAGAGTGAATAGAGCAGTTAGGGTGACATTCAGTTAAACAGAGTTAATAAATGGAGTTCATTCTAAAAGTCGTATTTTGCGAAAACGATTTTCCAGAGTAATTGGAATACTCTTCACTTTTAGAACACATGACAAAAAAGTGTTCCAACTTTTTTGTGTTCTGAATAGACGAACACAGCTATTCTTTTAATTCTATCCATTTTCCTGATTTAGAATATGAGTCAAATGTGCTTGGAGTGGCTTAAGCAAGTCTGCTCTAATCACAGATCACGTTCTGAACCGATTCAATATCGGTTCGGAACCAATTCAGAACTAGCCGGATTTGCTTGGCTCATGCTCATTCCGTGTACTCCATGTTCATTTTAGCCGTTCGGATATAAGTAACTATTTAGAGTGAATAGTGCAGTTAGGTTCACATTCAGTTAAACAGAGTTAATAAATGGAGTTCATTCTAAAAGTCGTATTTTGCGAAAACGATTTTCCAGAGTAATTGCCATACTCTTCACTTTTAGAACACATGACCAAAAAGTGTTCCAACTTTTTTGTGTTCTGAATAGCCAAACACATCTGTATCCGATGATTTGCTCGGAGTACTCTGGAATATTTAGTATTATATTTGAACGGTGCATTCAACTTGTTCTGTTTCGGGTGCGAGGCTGAATATTTAAAATCAATTTAGAATTAGATTTTTCCCACTTGGTGCGCTCCAAGTACTCTAACTGCTCGTGTATGAACTTTTAGAGCAATTCGTACTTTTAGTTTTGGGTATGGGTCAAATAAATGGAGCTCACTCCAAAAGCTCTATTTACGAGAAAGAAAAATAATCTGTAAACGACTCCGAGTGATTGACAACATTTTGGTTGCCACTCCATGCGAATCTCAAACTTGGATTTGAAAAAAACGTACTCTTTAAGAGCTACTCCGAACAGAATAATGCCTCCTGAGGCATTATTCTTGACTTTACCTAGGTAGAAAATTTGACATTGTTGACAGTTAATGCACTGTTTAATTGTCAACACAGTCAAATTTTCTCTCGAGAGAAAGTCAATAATAAAGCCTCTGATCATGAGACTCTCGAAAAAGAACGCTGTTCTGAATGAACGTGGGTTTCATTTCCATAACCTATACGATACTTTTTGCTCTAGGTTTGTTCATTTTGCATTAAGTTGTTAACAAAATAGAAATTCAGGTCAGACATCATTGTTCCAAGACTTTTTTTGATCTGTTGTTCTACTGTCCGAATTATTTTGACTGTTCTTATTCTGTTCTATTTGCACTTACTCTAAATTACGCTAAGTATTCTATCTGCATTTGAATTCCTTCTATTATTCGAGTTACTCTAAGTGTTCCAAATGCTTTAATTTCTGTTTCATTTGCACTAACTCTGTTGTATTTGCACTGCTCTAATTATTACTGTTTGAACTACTAAATAATTAATTTAGGGTATTTAGTAATTCTACTCTAACTGTTCCAAGTGCACTAGCTTCTTTTTGAACTGTTTAACTGTCTGAACTACTTTGATTGTTTTTTCCTATTACAATGATAGCAACAAATAAAAATGTATACAGAAAATCAGGGGATTTTCTCGGGTCTTTCATTTTTAAAAAATTTAATAATCCTAACCTGATTTTTACTGACAGTAGTACCAACTACCGCCTAACTCGAAAAAAAAAATAAATAATAATAACGAGTTGGTGCATAGTTATTTAATAAAATATTTCTATCACGCTTTATTCCATTGTAACTGTATATTTCCATATCGTTTTCTCCGCCCTTCAAAATAATCCAAATAACGTTGGAATTAGACATCATTCAGCAGACGCCATGTTGAAAATTTTAGATCGTTGAAGAACTAGAGATACAGTGCTGCCAACAAAATAAAAATAAACTTAACCTAACCCTAACCTAGAAATTAATAATAAAAATGTATACCCTACAGCAAACAATTATTTAGGAAATCAAAATATGTATCCCTGTTAACTTTCAAATAAAATTATGGTTCTTCCAAGTATAGAACCGCGTCAAAATTACTGCCAATGGCTGATAAACGTAAAACTGTCCCGTATAGTCGTAATGGTACTAACAATCCTCATCCTCACCCCTTTAATAACCCACTTTTACTTGTCCAAGGTAGAAAGAAGCGCCAACTCGGTTTCACATTCACACGTCGATTTACCAGAAGACTTGGCAGATCTTAGAGAAGTAGATCTACGTGTAGGCGTAGAGGAGCTGGTCAGAATACGCGGCTCAGTACTGAGCGAGCTGAGAAACATCGAAAAAAAACGGCAACAGTTCAAGCAAGAATTGCAAAGCTACTCCAAAAATATTGAAGATTTAAAGCTGGAGTTAGCGCATCAACAGACCAATTTAAACAGGTTGAAAATGTCGGTGGAACAAGCCGAAGTTGCTATGCACGAAGCTTTGCAGCAAAATACTCCCGATTTGGCGCTACCTCAGAGGCTTTTGCCTAACGAATTACCCCCCAAACTACCCGCCATTAGTAAAGAAAGGTCTAGAAATTGTAGGATGTTTAGCTGTTTTGATCATTCAAGGTAAGAATTTGTAGTGGTATACCAAGGTTTCTGGTTCCTAAAGTTAATGGGTTGTGTGGTAACAAGAATGTTTGCAAGAGTTGATGGCCTGATAACTTTATGACGTCATCTGGGGTGCCTTAACATAATACAAATCTGCAGATGCGTCATCAAGTTACCCATTACCAGACAACTTATTAACTTTAGTAACCTTGGTCTAGTAATCAGGTGCCTTATGAAGATTTGTATTACATTGAGGCACCTTAGATGACATCATAAAGTTATCAGGCAACCTACCTCTCCCATTGGTGTTATACTAGATTACAGTATGTAACATGACATTTTTTGAATTGATGACCCTTGATGTATACAGGGTGGTCCAAGTGCAGAGTTAAAAATTATTGCTATCTTTTCCATGTAACACCATATAACTTTTATTTGGCATTTGAAACATTTTAAAAAGGATGTACAAGTCGATTTGAAAGTCAATCATGAAATAGCTTTTGGTCATGGAACAAACTTGTTTGAAAGAAGTAGGTGCATGACGTCATCTAGAGTGCCCAGCAAATTTCCATAAGGCACCCCAAATGACATCATCAAATTACCCATTAATAGACAAACTATCAACTTTAGGAACCTTGGTCATAGACATATACTTTAATGACTTGTAATAAAGAGTATATCAAATACATTGTTCATTTTGCTTATTAAAAATTAAAATATTTTTTTTCTAAGATGTTCTCTGACGTCTGGGTTTCCGGTATACCTCTACGACCCCGATCAGCATCCGGTAATGAACGACGGTTGGGACGTTGACGGTTTTCTAAAAACCACTCTGAAGCAAGTCTTAGGCTACAACCCCCATTTGACACAAAACCCCACTGACGCTTGCATATTCCTAGTTTTAGTTGGTAATATTCATAATATGTCAGCTAAATATAGGCTTACGAATGTCTCTGCTTGAAGGCGAAGCCCTAAAAGACACCGATGACGTCACGGAAAACATAGGCAACCATCTGAATCTACCCCCGTTAGACTCAAAAGCCTTGCAACGCTTGCCCTATTGGGGTGGGGACGGCCGCAACCATGTCCTACTTAATTTGGCCAGGCGCGATTTAAGTGCCACTAGCGGCGATATTTTTTCTGACATCGACACCGGTAAGAACTGTCAAAGAAAATTCAATATGGCCGTTCGGGTCAAACACCGTTTTGTTTACATTGATAAAAATCAATGAAAAATTACTTATTTAGATTTAACATTGGCATTGTCATGTTTGGCATCTACAACAAGGGCCATAACAATAAGTTATGAACGTCATCACAATATTTGACCTGAACAGCCATATTGAATCAGGTGGTCTATATTTAAGGTTGCTTGAGAGAGGTAGGTTGCCTAGAGGTCTTTTCTCTATTTCTATTGGCGTCCTCTCTCTACTGATTTTGTGTGGTCTAGCAATAGGAATAACGATCTCTATCCCTTACAGAGTCCTAGCCCTGATAACTTTCATGACGCCATCTAGGGTGTCTTAACATGAGAGATGACGTCATCAAATCACTTTTAGACAACTTTAGGAACCTTGATCTGGATTACCTTATTAAAAACTTTCATGGCAACCAATAATCTATTAACACTACCTCAATGATATAGAGGGTGATTACAACATACACTACCTTGTATTATTCTGTATCTTTCTCTATCAGGAAATACGATTACTTTTCAATGAAAACTGGCAACGCCGCAAAAAAATAAATTTCAATTTACCACCAAATTCAACGGGCCAAATGGGGTAAAGTAGGGGCGGAGTTAGCTTAAACATTTTGTATCCTACTCCTGGGTTTTTATTCTGGAGACAGGGAAGCAACATTCTCATAAGAACGAAAGTTTTGTCTTCGTCACCCATATTTATATTTCCATAAGACTGACAAAGACAGACCCATTAACATGTTGAAAACCAAAACAAAGTTTTTTTAACAATGAGATATCTCTGTTTAACGCATTTGTTTCCTTTATCATTTACGATATTCTTTTATCTTTTTCTAATGTATTTGGAATCATAAAGATGAAAATTTTCATAATTTTGATCCATTCCAAGGCCTACTATGATCTCTTAGAGAAAAATGGTAGTAGAATATATTTATCCCTGTTTAACGCATCTGACAGTTTTTTTTCCTTTGTCATTTACGAGATTATTTTATCTTTTTCTAGTGTATTTGAAATGATAAAGATAAAAAGTATCATCAATTTTAATCCACTCCAATGCCTACTATGATTTTTAACCGTCTATTTGTGTTAATAAGTCATTGGTGGCCAAGAATGATACACACCTACAGAATTGCTTATCAGCCTTGTTTTTGGTAGTCGTCCTCATATTGGTGTGTCACCATTTCCGACGTCATAACTAAGTAGTCAGCTGTTTAAACAACCTACATTAAGGCGAGAAATAACATGCTGCCTACGTCACAACTGGTGATTTGGCACGGGGTGGGGGGAAGAGTGGGATTTGTTCAATACAAGGCTTATGAAGATAGGCTATCCTGTAGTAGTAGTGTGTATCATCCTTGGTGACAACCAACTAATATATTTTTTTTGTAGGCCGAGCCATTTTAGTTCAATCGACCTTCTACCACGACTACTTTCGACCGAACTTCGATTTGATAGTGTCCCCGGTACTGGGGCCACCTGGCGGCGACGTTTGGCAAGAGTGCGCCTACATGTTGCCAAGTCGTCGCAAATATCTCCTGTCTTTCCAAGGCGAAATGAAATCGACACCCAAATCCAACACTACATCAAAGCAATTTTTATTCACCGACGCGCAATTGGAAAAAGAAAACGTCGAACTAAACAATTATATTTTGCAACATTTAAAAAACTTGGCAACAACGCATACGTCTGATAAGTTTTTGTTTAATTTTGAATGCGTACCTGCTAGTGACGACACTACCCTTTTGCCTTTTGATTGGGCTTTATGCGGTACTGACAGCAGTCGCAGAGGAATCTTAAAAGACTCAACTTTTGTGTTGATTTTTGCCCCAACATCTACTGATTATTTATCAACAACGTTGCTTCAAGCACGTGTGTACGAGGCCTTAAGATCAGGCGCCATTCCTCTAATCCTAGGCGGCGATCAAATTCAACTCGCCTATCACGAAGTCATACAGTGGCGCCGCGTTGCCATATTTCTACCAAAGGCGCGCGTCACTGAATTGCATTTTTTGCTGCGCACTATTCCGGATGAGGACATAATGCTGTTTCGGAAACAAGGCAGGTTGGTGTGGGAACGATATTTGGCATCGGTGCAAAGTACGTTGGATACTATTGTGGCAGTGTTGCGGGATCGGTTGAATATTCCAGCGTTGCCGGCTGATACGGTTGCAGGAATTAGCGTTTTTAATGAGACATTCCAACCGATTTTAGGTATGTATGGCAACAATATTTTTGAAGTTATGGCAACATTGCAATAGTGTCAATCCGTAATAAATGAAAATCAACTTTTTTCTTCTCTTGGTTTTGTAGTATATGGCAACATTGTTAAATGCCGTTTTTGACAAATTGTTGCAAATTAATTTGTGCATACTTTGATTAACAATGTTGTCAATTCATTGAAAAATTTTATAGTTCCTGCTGTTGGCGATGTGGAACAAGAAGAAAGTTTAGGACCACTAGAACCCCCCTACAATAGTTTGGCTTTTAGAAGGAACTATAGCCTCGGGCTAACGCAAGGCCACGAAATTTGGAACGATTGGGGCGATCCCTTCAGGTAGACATTTCTCATTCATTTGTCACTTGTCTTATATATTTGACACTTTAGGTTGTATGCGGCGTTGCCAACTGATCCAATTTTACCTTCCGATGCCAAGTTTATCGGTTCGGAACGAGGCTTTAGACCAATTGCCTCTGGAGCTGGAGGTTCCGGCAAGGAATTTTCAGAGGCTTTAGGTGGCAATAGTCCTAGAGAACAATTTACAATTTTACTTCTCACTTATGAAAGAGAGCAAGTGCTATTAGACTCGATAGCAAGACTGAGAGGGCTGCCCTATTTGAACTCAGTTGTAGTAATTTGGAACAGCCCTCGATTGCCCAGTGCAGATTTGCGATGGCCCGATATCGGTGTCACTGTTCACATAATTAAAGCTGCAAGGAATTCATTAAATAACCGGTTTTTACCTTTGGACAATTTACAAACCGAAGCGATTTTATCAGTAGACGATGACGCTCATTTACGTCACGATGAAATTTTGTTCGGGTTCCGAGTGTGGCGCGAACACCGAGACAGAATCGTGGGATTTCCCGGACGATTTCACGCTTGGGATTTGAACACCAAAAATAGTTGGCTGTATAATTCGAATTACAGTTGCGAATTGAGCATGGTTTTGACAGGTGACAAGTTGTCATGTTTTTGAAAAATTTATGACGCAATTTGTTTTAGGTGCGTCATTCCTTCATCGGCATTATTTGCATTTGTATTGGAAATGGCTGCCGCAAGCTGTCAGAGACAAGGTGGACGAATATATGAACTGTGAAGATATTGCAATGAATTTTCTTGTGAGTCATATTACCCAGAAGCCACCGGTTAAGGTGACATCTAGGTGGACGTTTCGGTGTCCCGGGTGTCCTCAGAGCTTGTCAGAGGACGACACGCATTTTCAGGAAAGGCATAAATGTATTAATTATTTTACACAGGTAAGATGTGGCAACATTGGAATTTTAGGAAAAACAGTAGTGTTTTTTTCAGGTTTTTGGGTATACTCCGTTACTGAATACTCAGTACCGGGCCGATTCCATTTTGTTCAAGACTAGGATACCTCACGACAAGCAAAAATGCTTTAAATTTATTTAAACAAGACTGGATTTTTATTGTTTTTTGTAATTTTAGTATTTTGTAGATATTAGGCCTGTTCACACAGCAATCACAAATCAGTCAGAGTGGATTTCATTGGTTAAAACTAGTTTTCTGATTGTTTTCAACCAATGAAATTCGCTTTGACTGGTTGATAATTGCTGTGCGAACATGCCTATTAATTTGTGATATTTTTTAATTATTTATTTTGTGCCATAGTTTTTTTGTAAATTTTAAAACAATGTTAACGGTATTTAGTTTAAGTTTTATGTACTAGACGAAGTAAAATAAAATGCGATTTTTATTTACATTTGAAACTCTGATCTGCTCTTATATCTTTGAGTTATGGAATAACAAAGCCCAGCACTCTAAATCAGTTTTGCCAGTTGGAAAAGCAAAAAATTCGAGAAAAAACTGGATAAAAACAATCAAAATGGCCGACTGTCAAAAGTATTAACTGACATTTATTACAAAAGGCCTACTTGATTGAAAGCGATGTTGCCACAATTACAATCTCGAACCGAACGTTTTTCCAGATTTTTCCTCATTTTTGTCCGATAATGAATGTGCAGTCTGGAAAAGTAACAAGTTTTCATTTTTAATGTTAATTTGATTGTACCTATTTTTAGAAAAAAAAACAGTGATTATAGTGAGTAAGACAAAGAAGAAGATAAAATGGGAACATTTGCAAAAGCAGCAAATGCGATTATAAATGAGAAAGACAAAGAGGCCCTTATAGTGTGGGCTTATTTAAATAAAATTGTGGAATTCTAGTTTTTTTTTTGTTCAAAATTTGTAACGGTTTTTCATTAAAATAACTGCCAAAATCTAGAGAGTCTAATCGCAGAAATATGGAGAGCCCAAAAAGCATCTGCTGACAAGAGTCTGGGGAACAGACAGACAGAGCTCCGTAATTCGTAATAAGTGCTAATTTTTATATGTTGGTATTTTAAACGAAACAGAGCAAATCGAAACTTACTCAAATTAACCCAAAGATATTCTTATAGGTGAGATTTTTGAAGATAACAAAAACAAAGTCACAGTCTCATAATTTATTTAATTAGCTACACGTGTTTCGCTCAATAGAGCATCATCAGGCCTTGAAATACACAACCTTAACACACATTAAATAAAAACCGGTAAAGTTTTGAATGTGACTCTTGTAGAAACAAAAGACACATTCAAAGCTCCACTTAAATTAAATATCCCTTAAGTGATAGCCGTGCAAATGGCCATTAGAGAATTCGTCTATTCTAACTTAGTTTTTGATTACGGAATAGCTTGATTCCATCACTAGTGGAAAATATTTATTCCATCACTTGTTATGAAATGAGTATTACAGCTAAAAACTACGCAAACTGCAGAAATACGAAAAAATCTAGAAATTACTATAAAATGGAATTCATTCAAACACTTCAACTGGTTTTAATCGATGTTGGTAATACAGATAACTGTAAGCAAAAGATTTTATCAAACCAAGTAGGCCTTGGAAACAATTCATTTTTATCCAGCCATGTTGAATTATTTGTCAAAAATTACAAGTCCCACTTGGAACGTCAATTTTTTGATGTTTGCTATGATATGGAGCGGTGTTGCCATATTTTTTTTCGAATTGCGAGCCCGCAGGGCCGGAGTAATTTTAATCCCGAGCCCGTAGGGCGAGGGTTTTTCTGATTACGAGCCCGAAGGGCCGTGGTTTTATGAACACTCGTACGTATTACCAGACAAAAATCCTCGCCCGATAAACTCATGATTTAAAATGACTCCGGCCCTGCGGGTTCGTGATTTAAAAAGACTCCGGCCCTGCGGGCTCGTATTTAGAAATAACTCTTGCCCTACGGGCTTATATCAAACCAAGTAGGCTTTAGTAACATATGTATATTGTTCGTCGATTTTTATCTGACATTTTTCGTATGAGGAGCGAGGGGGTGAAACTCTGACTTACAAGGATATATCTAGTGAATTTTAGGAAGCGCCCATTTTTTGACAGTTGGTTGTAGTAATATATATGGCCTACTTGATAAAGATTTACCGGAATATTTTGTGATTTTTGGTTATAGAAATACGAAGTTTTTTTTTTGAATAATTTTTTATTTATTCTCGGCTCTTGAACTGTCATTTCTGTCAAATAATAAATAGACAACTGCTTGTCATTGGTTCATTGGCCTACTTGGTAAAATGTTAATTTTTTTCGTATAACGATTTGATTTGGTGAATGTTTGAAAGCGTCCATTTTTTTAACATTTGTAAATGAAAAGTCAACTTGGTAGAGGATTGTATTTGTCCTCTTCCTATATTAAGTTGAAGATAGACAATAGAAAATGATACAAATATTTTCATTTACAATGGTATATCTAGTGAATTTTAAGAAGCGTCCATTTTTTGATAATTGGTTGCAGAAATACATGGCCTACTTGATAAAAAATTTACCGGAATATTTTGGTATTTTGGATTACAGAAATACAAATTGGACATCAATGCAAATTAAGTTTTGACACTTAATTGTTACAGTTATGACATTGACAGAAACTAATTAGGCAATTTAATCCATCTGTCAAAATGGAAAAATTCAATATGGCGTGGCGGCCAAGCAAGTTTGTTTTGAATATGTTTTTATTATATTATATTCAAATTATTTTGCTTAGAGCTTTGCTTGCAACTTTGATTTTGATTATTTAATGAAATATTTATTGACTGGGTACCTAAATTATTAAATCGGGCAGAAACTAGATATTTTTGTGTGTTTTTTGGCCCATGTGTGGCCGCCACGCCATCTTGAATGTCACGTGGTTTAAATTGCCTAATTGGGAGGGACAATATACACAATATACATTGCAGGTGCGTTCATCAAAAGCGCCAATAATGTCAAAAGTACAAAGTTACTTTGTGTGGATTGAAATTTTCTTATAGCATTCATCATCACTTTTTCCAAAATAATTCTTACCTACATCAACCATTACATGGCCTACTATGGTAATTTATCAATGAAAAGAAGGTTGGCAACAAATAAAATTCAGGTTTGACACTAAATTGTAATAGTTATGACATTAACAGAAACTAATTAAGTCAATTTACACAATACATTGCAGGTGCACTATTACATCACAATATGATACAGTGGCTAAATAAACCTTTATATACAGTGGCGACAATAGAGGTCCCGCCGCCATTTTGTGCCCAACATCTTTGCTACTTTTAAATATGAATATATAGGATTTTAATGGACATCCAACATAAGAAATTGAAAATAACGTATTTGATGTGGCTAATTATAGTCATCGGAAACGTTATTTTCAATTTTTTATGATGTATGTCCATTTAAATCCTATATATTCATATTTAAAGTTAGCAAGAGGTTGTGCACAAAATGGCGGCGTTTTTCATATGATATTTTGAAGAACCAATCAAAAAGAAGACGGCAATTGTCGCCACTGTGGTAATGTACAATATTACATAAAGTCTGTTTTAGCTTATTATGATAATTTTTTAATAAAAATCGAAAGTTGGCAACATTGAAAATTCATTTTTAGTTGACATAAAATTGTGACAGTTGGCAGAATCTAATTTCACAAAGGCCTACTAAAATATACCAATTTGGTTTGGTCATTCGTTTGAAATTGTCTACCCAAATTTGTCTTCTAAGATGAAGAAAAGTTGAAAGACAAGAATTTCTGAAGAAAAAAACATTTTACAAGGCCTACTCAGATGTGTCATATGTCACATTGGTTTCGGGATACAGTGTTGCTATCTGAAAACTTACTGTTTTGCAAATTATTCAATTTTACAAGGCCTACTAAGATAAGTCATATGTTACATTGGTACCGGGATACAGTATGTTGTTATCTGAAAACTTACTGTTTTGCAAATTATTCAATTTAACAAGGCCTACTAAGATAAGTCATATGTCACATTGGTACCGGGATGCAGTGTTGCCATCTGAAAACTTCCTGTTTTGCAAATTATCTAATTTTACAAGGTCTACTGAGATGCGTCATATGATATGTCACATTGGTACCGGGATATAGTGTGGCAATCTGAAAACTTCCTGTTTTGCAGAAAATCTAATTTTACAAGGCCTACTAAGATGAACCAATTGCATTTTGACATTCGTTTAAAACTGTCTTTCTAAGTTTGTCTTTTAGGTTGAAGAAAAGTTGGAAGAGAAGAATAAATGAAAAAAAAAAAAAAAAACATTTTACAAGGCCTACTAAGATACGTCATATGTCACATTTGTACCGGGATACAGTGTTGCCATTAGAAAACTTTCTGTTTTACCAACTAGAAGAGAATTATTAGAAATAAATTTGTGATGAACAATTTGTATTTATAACACTACACTTTATTTTTTCCCAAGATAGATTTTGACATTAAAAATTTTGAAACATAAACAATAACGCTTGAGCCCGATTGGTCGCAAAATGAGGTGTTTCTGCAGGTTGACATCAGTTTTACAATAGCGACCAATAAGCGGCATTAGCGGCGTTGTTTATGTTTCAAAGTTGACAATGCCAAAATCTATCTTGGAAAAAAATAAACCATAGATAATAATTTATAACTTTATCCAAGGTTCTTAAAGTTAATAAGTTGTTTGGAAATGGTAAACAGATGACGTCATCACATCAGGAAGACCTAATGGAGATTTGCATTAGTTTAGACACCCCAAATGACGTCATAAAAGTTATTAAACAAGCTTGATCTACGACCTAATGAAAAAATAGATTATTCAAAGCGTCCATTGAAAATTATTGAGTTTTTTCGTCTGAGATCGAAAGTAAGACATACAACGATATAGAAATAAACGGTAGAAATACAAAGAAGGGTGATAGACATATTAGTTCTTATAACTCCATTACATTGGACCTTGATGCTGAAACTTCAAATTTTTTTGTGTTTAGCTTAGAGCAGGTAAAGCGCACTGTCCTACGGACATAAGGAGTAGGAACCAAAGCTTACTTTGTCGTTTTCCAACTACAGAAAACATTGTCTCAATTATTGAGGCTCGAAGATTCCAGAAAGAAAAGTCGAAGTAGACCTTGAAAATTTCAAATTTTCCACAATTATTAATTTCTAAACATTGGCAAAATATCAAATATCATGTTGTTGACAAGTGACAGGACTACTTGTCGAAAACTAAGTAGGCCTTAGCAAACCTGTTTTTAATAATTAGCCGCCATAGTGCAGAGAGAGATGCAAATCCTTCTTGTCTGTTATTCTTCCTGGCACACACCCTTGCATAGAAACAATTATGTAGCTACCGTTCCAGTGTATTTGTTTAATTCATTGCTTGTTACCGTTGTTTGATTATTTGAAGTCGTAGAAAAAGTATAGTCTAAATCGCGTGTGGAATTCAAAATTCTACACTGGAATAGCCGTTTCCTTTGCCTTCGGCTCGGAGATTTTGAGAAACAAACTTCTCGTGTAGAATTTTGCCCATTTTACACTTGTTATAGAATATACTATTCTAAATTTTATAATCTTGGTAAAATCACTATTTTCTACATTCAAAATCGATGATAAAATAAGCACAGCCTGAATCGCATGCATCTCATTGAGGCCTACGGGTGACTCAGTCACCACTATAAGCTGCTAATAGTGGTGACGTCCTCGTGACGTCACTCGCAAGCCCTGCCAACTTTAGTATTGACGAACGTACATCTTATGATGATGAGCTTTCGGTAAGTTTACTATTCTTGGTTGAGAAATATGATAAATGACAAAGTTTTTGGAAAATTTTGTATGTGTAACACTATTTGAAGTTAATCAGGGAGCAATTGAGTTGAGCAAAAATCAATTCCACAAACGTTTGAAACATGGGGTTAGTTTAGATTTAGACGATTTCGCCTCAGTTTGGTACCCCAGTTTGGTCTGTCAAACAGGTACCATTCTGGAGGTTTGGTAGCTTTCTGTTTCTTTTTTTCTCATGTCCAAATAAACATGTCAAAGTCAAAATGTACCAAACGCGAAATCGCCTATAAATAGACTAAGGAATAGGTGATTTACCATTAGAAGTGTTAAAAAAACAATTCTCTAATAATTACACAAGATATACTTAAACAATTTATTAAAAATTATTTTGTACAGTATAAATAACTGTGCCATCAGTATTATCTGTACTGATACCGCCAAACAAAGGGTCCTCGTCCTCGTACCCCTGCTGCAGCAAATTCTTGTCCACCTTGACCGCCTCCCTGTACTTTTGCAAGTACAACTTCAGAGGCTCGACATAATTGTCAAAACCTAGAGTACTCATAGCGAACAAAATATCCTCGCCGTTGATGGTTTTACGTTTCTCCAAATGGCACCGGTCACTAGCTTCGCTTGTTATAAAACTGATAAATTCTGAAACACATTCTTGCACGCACTCCCTGGCATCTTTGGCGATTTTGTTGTTGACTTTGCCAGTGTCCGGGATTGCTTTTTTCATTATTTTTGCAACGTTGGCAATGGGTAGGAAGCGGTCTTGTTCCCGTAACGGGGCCCCCGATTTTTCGCCGTGGCTCGAATCGTCGGTGTTTTCAGCTGCCAGTTGATCGGGGTCTTCTTCCATGTCTTCCACTGAGACTACGTAAGGGTCGCCCATTGCAAACGTATGAGACATGATTGAAACTGTTTAAGGTTTCTTTGAACAATTATTTCTTAATAATTTACTTTGTTCTTGTTATGGTATTTGTTTTTATTATTATTAATGATATTTTGGTTTTGGTATTATGAAAATATTGAACTGTCATTTAATAGTGTTACCAACACTCTGAATGGGGGAGTGCATTCAACAGACGTAATTTTTCCAGAGATATGTGAGGGAAATAGAATGCGCTTAGAGTACAGTGGCTAAATAAACTAGTGCTGGCAAATACCAAGAAAAATCCAAACCGAATAATCGGTTTCTAAAAAAACCGATTTCGGTTAAAATCGATTAACCGAATACGGTTCTAAAATCGCTCAACCGATTTCTTGGAATCGGTTAACCGATTACTCGAAAATCAGTTAACCGATTTGGTCAATCGGTTTTCGGTTAACCGATTTGGGTAACTCGGTTTGATTTCGGTTAAAAATCGGTTCTCGGTTAACCCTGGTTTAGAGATTAGACGAATTAAAAACCGATTATTCTGTTTATTAATCTAATTGACCTTTTGTTTGGACGCCATATTGCGGTGCGCGAACATAGTTGCCAACAGTAGAAAAAAAATTACCAGCATTCTGTCAACGTTAAAATCCAAAATTAGGCAATTCAATCCATCTGTCAGATAGGGAAATTCAATATGGCGTGGCGGCCAAGCAAGTTTGTTTTGAATGTGTTTTTATGCGTATTTCAAATTATTTTGCTTAGAGTTTTGCTTGCAACTTTGGTTTGGATTATTTATTGAAATATTTGTTGACTAGGTACCTAAACTAATAAATCGAACAGATTCTAGATATTTTTTTCTGTTTTTTGGCCCATGTGTGGCCGCCACGCCATCTTGAAAGTTACGTGGTTTGAATTGCCTAATTAGTGAATAAGCCCGGAATTACAGAAGCTCTGCAACACCAAGATATCGGGTCTTCAAAAAAAAAAAACCAATCAAAGATTGCTATGGGTTTTTAAACGTACCTATGTCTTAGCAATATTTTTCTGTAATTTTGTCAATGAACTTTAACGTCAAAATGTCATGTCAAAAATTCTGGCCAATAAGAAACAATAATTCGACGTACGTTTTCGTAACCAAAGCAATCTTTGATTGGGTTTTTTTTTGAAGACCCGATACAAATGCAGAACCTGCAAGTCTGACTTTTCGTATTACGGAAGCAAAATGCATTTGCAAGTCGCCTGCAAATTTGCGCATGGTGAAACGATCCCGTAAGTCCTTGCAATCGCTTTGACAACTTTGACATTTAAAACCGGTAAATCAGTAGCGTCCAAGCACTTTTTTTCGATAAATATGACGAAATTGTAGATTTTTTCTGTAATTCGCTCGTTCCTGCAAATAAATACCATATGCAAGTCGGCCATATTTGCAGAACTGCAAATTTGCAGATGCAAATATACTGTAATTGGGCCCTAAATAACATTTGAAATTTAAATTTGCCGCCTATTACGAAAGTTTTTGAAAATAAAAGCCATCAATTTTAGCTTGTATTGGGCAGAATAGAAATAATAAAATATCTAGTTGACAGCTTGCTAGTAATTTTTGGTTTTCTTGTTTTGGCAACCATGTTCGCGCACCGCAATATGGCGTCGAAACAAAAGGTCAATTTGTGTCACGTGATCAAAGTGGAAAACTAATTTATACTACAGTGACTCTATTACCCACAGTGGCGACAATTGCTGTCTTATTTTTGATTGGTTCTAAAATCCCATATATTTATATTGAAAACGCGGCCATCTTGTTCCCACTTATTGCTCATTTCAAATATGAATATATGGGATTTGGGTGAACATCCATCATAAAACATGGAAAACAGCGTATTTGATGGACCTAATAATGGTCATCAAATACGTCGATTTCAATTTTTTATGATAGATGTCCATTTAAAATACCATATATTAATATTTAAAAGTAACAAGAGGTTGGGAACAAAATGGCGGCGGGACCTCTATTGTCGCCACTGTATGTAAAGGTTTATTTAGCCACTGTAATTTATACTATTTTGTATTTTCTATTTCTACCCTACTGACCGACACGCCAAAAAACAATACCCGAACGGTCGGAGGGCGAAAGGAGTATCACGGAGTGCAACGCAGTGATAGCCGTATTCGATTGACCCAGATTAGATCGATTCAAGTTCAGTTTAAGTGAACCTCTTGTAATCTAGAATCTAGATCATTTTTTTTTTAGTGGGGGTGCACTGATCAAACCTCAATCGAACACGACGTAGATCACTTAAATCGATCAGGGTTGGGATCACGACAAGTGGAATTCTGCTAGAATTCTACTTTCATGACGTCACCCGCCACCCATTTTTCGCGAGATGATAACGGTTGCTGGGCCACCTGACGTCATGGAAGTAGAATTCTACTTGTCGTGATCCCAGCCCTCATCGATCTGATTTGGTCAATCGAATAGGGCTATGTAATCCTGAGCTGCTTTCCAGTATGGGAGTGTGACGCTCGGAGCTACTCGGAGCTCTCGAACTGTCGTACGTAAGACAAGCGTGTCACGTTATGAAACTGGAACGGTACAAATCTAGTGCGTGGCGCTTCCGGGGTGCTCCAGAGCGCGCCAATGTGCATAAGTTCCCTAGTTTTCTGATTATTAATTGAGTTTTGTTTGATTATGTATTTTCAATTCTCGTTTTCAGTCAGTCAGTTTCTGGTAGGTAAGTATTCGGTTTTCGGTAAACCGCAAACCGATTAACCGAAAACCGATTAACCGCAAACCGAATAACCGGAAACCGATTAATCGAATAACCGATTTTCGGTTTGGGTGAAAACCGCGGTTAACCGAAAAATCGGTCTCGGTTGCCAGCCCTAAAATAAACCTTTACATACAGTGGCGACAATAGAGGTCCCGCCGCCATCTTGTTCCCAACCTCTTGTTTCTTTTAAATATGAATTTATAGGATTTGAATGAATGAACATCTTTCATAAAAAATTGAAATCGACGTATTTGATGACTATTACTTATTAGGTCCATCAAATACATTGTTTTCCATGTTTTATGATGGATATTCACCTAAATCTTATATATTCATTTTTGACATAAGCAATAGGTAGGAACAAGATAACGGCGTTTTCAATATAAATACATGGGATTTTAGAACCAATCAAAAATAAGACAATTGTCGCAACTGTGGGTAATAGAGTCACTGTAGCTTAGACGACTGCGCATCCGATTTTATGGTAACGCATAGGGTGCCGCCATTCTTATCACTTTTCACTTATGCCGTTTCCGATTAGTAGATCTAGTGCAGTATTTTTTATTTCTGTTTTTTTCTTCTACAGGTTGATGAAAAAGGATGAAAATACACTCAATGCGCATTAAATGTACCAATCGGAAACGCCATTAGTTTTTACGCTGACAAATTCAATCTGACAGATTTTTCACAACATAACCTTAGGCGTATTTTAGCGACAGGTAAACATCATACTACACATACTACGATTCATGACGTCATAGTTACCCAAATAACAGGTGGAGTGTATTTGACAAAGGGTCTAAGAGAGGACGCCGCGATCGTTGTTTATTTGGATTTGTTGAATTTTGTAAAATTTAGCGTTTTCGAGTTTCAATATTTATTAATTCTCCAGTGAAGATTTTCGAATATTTTTGATAGATTGTGGTATTTTTGAATTTTATGGGTACCCTATGCCAAAAAAAAAAAATTACACTTTTGTGCACAAGTGAAGATTTTTTATTTTTTTTGCAAAAAACCTCTAAAATAAAATCACAGAAAACCATGGCAAAATGAGGAAAAACAATCCTCTATTTATAATGGAAAGAACTGTGTCGGTAATCGTAGCGTAATCAGCTGATGTTTTGCCCATATGCTCATTTTCGTGTATTAGAAAAAGATGCACTGACATACTACAACCAGTAACTATCCCTCCTAGGATGTTTACATGTTTACAGTCGAGTTTTATGTTGTGTTTTATGTTGTGACGTCATAGTATGTTAGCCATGCTCGCTAAAATGTAGTATCCCAAGTAAATACAACATACTACTGGGTTAAAACTCTCGCTAAAATACGCCTCTTACTTTTGGTCGGTTACAAATAGGGCAATCCAACGACTTGTCAAAATGGAATTCAAAATGGAGGCCAATGCCTTTTTTCCACTAATAATTTCTTAAACTAAAAACTTTCCATCTTAGAATACGAAAATTATCCTCTCAAACACTAGAAAATCATCTAAAAGCACCACAAAATACACAAAAAACAGTTTTTTGATGAAAAATGTCACGATTGCTCGAATTAAATTTTTTTGGCATTGGCCATGCATTGACCACCATTTTGTTTGGATTGCCCTATTGTTGTTTTTGGCAATTTTTCCTGCTTTTTCTGAGATAATAGAGAGTTATTGGAACTAATTAATAGACACTTTAAGTTGGACCAAACACGTTAACGTAATCTTTAAACGTAAACCTTATTTTTTACTATAACGTCGAGTGACCGTCGGTGCTCACAAATCAGTTTAAGTTAAATTTTCACGTAAACGTTAACGCTATATCTCAGAACCATGACCTAACCTCTAAATTTTGTTGTGAAAAGGACAAATTAGAAATTATTTTTTGTATTTTGATTATTTTAAATTACATGACACCTTTTTTTTTTAAGATTAAAATACATTCGGCAAAGGTCGACACCGGCAAATCTGGCTTTTGGGCCCACTCGGTTTAACGAACGTTTACGGATAAGGTACACGCAAAGACCCGCTAGAAAGTTCTCGTGTTTCCCACGCTACGCTAATACGGTACCGCTAACAATCCGGTATTTCACATGGTATTTTAGAGTTCTCGGACACGAAGACACATAAATACTCTAATCCCTTATTCTGCTAATTTGAGTGATCTAACCCAACTTTTTTTGCTTGTTTTCTAACTTTTATTTATCCTGAAGATTCCTGAGTTTGATTAATGTTCCCTTGGTGTTTTTATGGGGGAATTATTAGAAGTTGCTGTTTTTGCAGACATAAATGGAGCGTAAACTAATTTTGACATAGGATAGCGTTACGGTAAGGCATCCGCTAAGTTCCCTTAGATAGCGGGCTCCGCTAACGCTGGTGCTAATACCGTAAGAACTGTCATACTTGTCAAATAGCGTTACGGTATTTGAAATTTCGACGGCACGAGAACTCTCCAATAACGTGA